GAAAGTATTATCTGAAGAACAAATAATGTTGATACTAGAAATGTCTCATTTTCTATAAGTAAATCTTTACTTTAAGGAATCGATTTCCTTTGTGAAATTTATTGGATGGTTCTTGTCTGCTATTGGAGAATCTCATATGAGTGACAGGTTGACCCCGCCCCCACTTTAAGTGAACACCAATCAGAGTAGTGATGTTGTTAAAAAGGGAAGAGTAGTGATTTTGATTGGATAAAAGGAAGTATGTGCCCAGATAAACCATTTATTATGAACATTGCAGTACTGTAAGATTTGATTTTACGGATTTAAACTGAAATTGTCCTGTCTACAGAGGGCGTTTTCTATGGATGATCGCATCGCATGGACACACGTCACAATCCCTGAAAACCTGCGGGAGGGAACTGTAGTGGACGAGTGGTACAGCCTGAGCGGGAGACAGGGGGACGACAAAGAGGGCATGATTAATCTCGTCATGTCCTTTGCAGTAAGTCCTAAGATCTTATTGAAAACTTCTGTGAAAGGTTAAGAGTATATTGTTTTATTGTTAAAATGACAATGACAAAAAAACTCTACAATTGTTGTAGATTAAACTCTAGTTGTAAACCAGTGCTATTAGTATTCGTTTGAGAAAAAAAAAGATATTTATTTGGACTGTGTTTGAGTAAAGCTGCTTTTTAGCATGCACTGCCGAATTACTAGTTATAAATGATCAATTACCTGCTCTGGACAAGCTTTAGAAATAGGGAAAATGCAAAATATTTGTTTAAAACAGAGCATGCTCGTAAAAAAGAGAACACTTCTGTTAAATATTATTAAAATTTAAAAAAATTTTATATTTAATGTTTTATTTATTTATTTTTGTCATTTTCTATAGACAATACCCGCAGGAATGATGATGCAGCCGCAGCCTGTGGTTCTGATGCCTACAGTCTATCAGCAGGGAGTCGGTTATGTGCCCATAGCAGGTTGGTTTGACACTAATATAAGCATTGAATACTAACTATGAACTATGATCAGCCATTGTGATGGATGGATGGATAATATGGCTAAATAGGTAAAATGTATACTTTTCAAGGGAGAATAACATTTGTACAGTTGTTAATACGTTAAGACGATCACTTAAAGGACTAAATATGTAAAGCACTTAGAATAACCACTGTTTATGAAATGTGCTATATAGATAAAACTACCTTGCCTTAAACTTACTGAAAGTTTACTTCATTATATATTATTTTTATGCATTATTTAGTCTTTTGAGAAACATTAATTTGTTTATCACTTTATTGCATTGCATTATATTTGTCTTTGATTATAAAGCCGACTTTAGGACATAACTGTACACCGAATATGACTACAATATTAAAACATAGGGCAAATTTCCCAAGTGATGTGTAAGATGTTGGAGAAGGTCTTATTTCCTTTATTTCTTATTTCTAGTTTGACTGGAATAAATGCAGTTTTAAATATTTTATTATAAAAAATATTATTATTAAAAAATATTAGCCCTGTTAGGATATTTATATATTATAAATATATATAGAAATATAGAAATGATGTTTGAAATATTCAGGAATTTTTCACAGTATTTCCGATTATATTTTTTCTTCTAAAGAAAGTCTTATTTCAGCTAATATTTTATTTCGGCTGGAAAAAAAAAAACAGTTTTTAATATTTTAAAACCCATTTTAGGGTCAATATTATTCGTCCCCTTAAGCAATATTTGTATTGGATTGTCTACAGCAGTGGTTCTCAAACTGTGGTACGTGTACCACTAGTGGTACGCGGAGAAATCACTGAGAAATGAAAGAAAAAATGAATACAATTTTAATCATTTGATGCGTACGATAACACCAATGTGATCAGCATTGGCTGTTTTCTATAATCTACAGTCAAAGCAACATGCTTGGAATGTTTATTTTAATGCATCGCGTCATCAGCTGCTAAAATTCGATTCTATTGGTGCAGAACTAGAGAAAGGTACGTGGTGCTTGCAGAGTAGATATGCGCTAGAGCAGTGGTCCCCAACCCTCAGGCCACAGACTGGCACCGTTCTATAGATCATTAGGTACCGGGCCTCACAAAAAAATCAAGAATTATTTCGATTTATTTATTATCTGAGTTTGAATGATCATTTATTTGTAAAAATCTTTTATTTTGAAAAATTAGCGTATTCTCTTGGTCAATTAAGTGGCAAAATTTAACCCACAGGCTAGAAAAATGAGTAAGAACTGCAGCACAACGCGCTTGCGTATTCCAGGCATACCCAGATGAAAACATCTTAACTTTTCAGAACGCCGCACCGCGAGTCACGTGCCAGGAACTGATTGATCAGCTTCATATTTTGTATGAAATATAATTTCGCTAGGCTTATTATCTCAGACAATAGCCCCTTTCACACATACAGACCTTTCCGGAAAATTACCGGCAATTTTCCGGAAAGGTTGTATGTGTGAACAGGTCCTTTTTGAAAATACCGGTAAATTCGTTCTGGCTGTTTTCCGGAAAGAGAAGTTGTAACATTACCGGCAATTTGCCGGAATGCTGCGCTGTGTGAATGCAGAAGGAAGATTGCCGTAATAAGCGCGTGCACGTCTAGAACGTGCTGACGTGAGACGTCTGCTTTAGCCAATCACAACAGTCAGACGCATTCACGTCCGCGCTGTTTATGAGAATAAAAGCCTTTGAATATTTTTCCAGACACATTTAGCTGCTAGAAGTTAGTCAGATCACGTTTATATGTTCTTCTTAATGCCAACTGTGTAAATAATCATCGATGAGATGCTTATGATAAGCCGTTGTTTGTTTACCTTCAAGCTTTGCGTGTGCCTGTGAAACAGCCTTTGAGCGCCTGCACACGCACATATTATGAACATCTCGACATGCGAAAGTGATCCTGCGAAAGTTGTTCACAATATTGATCATCCACAGAGTTTGTAATTTAGTCAAATGTTTACAAACACAAGCGCAGCCGTTTAAAGCTCATTTGTGGTGAATGATGTCAGAATTTACCGGTATTTTGGAATGGATGTGTGAATGCTCTTTTCCGGAAAAATTCCGTAACGTCCTCGCCTGTGTGAACAGCGCTTTTTTCAATATACCGGTAAAGTCGTTCCGGAAATTTTCCAGATATTTACCGGTATCACTGTGTGAAAGGGGCTAATCACTGAACGCCCAAACACTTTTCTCCATAAAAAAAAATGTATCACAGTGGAGCAATGTTTTGTAAGCTTGACATCCTCTGAGAAAAACGGGTTCCCTACCAATCTACATTTAAGCTAATGTTTAGATTTCAAAAAGTTTTACAAATATGTCATATGCACATGCAACAAATATTTAAAAATTGTATAAATATTAACATGACTCTGCCTCGTTTTTGAACGGTGCAGTGCTGTAGCTGCTTAATTTGGCCAACTACAATACTTTATTTCAATACCGGTCATTACGGTGGTACTTGGAGAGACAATTGTTTTCTGAGGTGGTACTTGGTAAAAAGAGTTTGAGATCCACTGGTCTCCAGAATAAACCACTGATATACAATGACTTGCCTAATTAACCTAGTTAATCCTTTAAATGTCACTTTAAGCTGAATACTAGCATCTTGTGGGATATCCAGTCTAATATTATGTGCTGTCATCATAGCAAAGAGAAAATAAATCAGTTATTAGAGATGAGTTATTAACACTATTATGATTAGAAATGTTGAACAAAATCTTATTTTAATTTAAACAAATTGAGGAAATAAATATACATAATAATTCTGACACTAACTGTACAGAGTAAAATACATAGTATGCAATATAGATACAACATTAAATTCTGCCTTTTATATAACAACGTTTTGTGTTGTCAGGCGTCCCTGGGATGTATAATCAGGGTGTGGTGCCCATGGGGATGCCAGCCGCTCCTCCAGTGGCGTCTCAGAGTGCCCCATGCAGCGAAGAAGACCTGAAAGCCCTTCAGGACATGTTCCCCAACCTGGACAAAGAGGTGATCCGCACGGTTTTAGAGGCGCAGCAGGGAAATAAAGATGCTGCCATAAACTCCCTGCTGCAGATGGCGGAGGAGCTTTAACCGCACCGCCGCCGCTCCACATCAGACTTTATACCAAAAACACCCCTGTAAATATGCACACCTAAATCTGGCAACCCTTACAAGTAGCAAGAAAATTTTACTGTAACTGTCTTTTATTAAATCAGCATTTAGACCGAACGTTTCCGGATGGTCACAGAGAATGTAGGAGGATTTTTGGCTTGTCATTTACAGTATGTCCTCCGGGGGCAGTAAACCATATCTGTATTGTAGTGTTCCCACGTCTTAAAGATGTTTGATATATATTACGCTTTGATCTGTATGAATTTAGTTACATAAATGTACATGGATATAATTTATTTTCAAGATTATTAAAGAGATATCGGAGTATGTCGGAATTAGTGTCATTATTTTGGGGGGGGGGGGGGGGGTATGTGCTCCACTATGATGACTCTACTAGCACATGCTAACTATTAAGCCATAGTAATTGATTTGAACCAGTAATCTAGAGTTAATCAAAAGATGATAGTAAATTGTAAGATTGCAGTAAATGAGACATAATAATAAAAATAATAACAACTCCTTACATTTATATAGCGCCTGTCAGAATCGGCAGGCTAGCGCAGAAGCTCCATTAAATATACTGGGGTAAATTAAGTGTTCATATTTTAAAGATATTACCGGGAAATTGTAATTTAATGCAGAGCTTCTTGTACAATCTGAGACCCACTCTATATCAGAAATCAGTGGAGATCGCTGATTTTTAAAGAAAACAGACCTTAAACACACCAATTTTGTAATGGCATACAGTTCACCAGAAGCTCTTGACCCAGGTTACTGACAAATTAAAAGTCCTTCCACATATACCCCATTGGGGATACACACATTGCAAAATCAATGCTCAAATGACATATTGTGCAGCCCTACAGACCTAGTGTGCATACATTATATACCACTGTAATTTTCCACAAAAATTCAGTTTGCATTAGTTTATTAAGAGCTACAAGAAACAAAAGAGCTGTCATTCTCATGACACCATAAAGATAATTATCTCAAACAGTTCAAAATGTACAGGTTTATACTATAAGATGCATTTCTAGAGTACAGGGTTTGAAGTTCACTTCCTCCTCCGGCGTCTCCTCATGTTAGTGGACTGATCAGGGCAGTTGGACGCCTTGCAGCCACAAGACTCGATGTAAATGTAGGAGAAGCTGATGTTTGACCCATCTGGGCAGTTCAGAGTCACTTCCTTTGTGCTGGTGGTTGTTTCTTGACAGCAAGAGCATGAGTGGACGAGAGCGTTGGCTTCTGCTGAGTATCTGTTTCAACACAATGATGAAGAGAAAAGTCAGTGTTCGTGAGCAGTGCGGTATGATTGGCTCTCGAAGAACCAAAGACCAAATTATTACATTTATTATTTATTATTTTCAAATAATGCCTCATTTATATTGTCTTTTTTAGCTAAATAGTTATATATAGTTATTTTAACTATAGGGTGGCTATTTATATGGATACAGCTTAATACAATGGGAATGGTTGGTGATGTTAACGTCCTGTTTGGGGCACATTAGTATATGTGAGGGGGCAAACTTTTTAAGATGGGTGGTGACCATGGTGGCCATTTTGAAGTCGGCCATCTTGGATTCAACTTTTGTTTTTTTCAATAGGAAGAAGAGGGTCATGTGACACATCAAACTTATTGGGAATTTCACAAGAAAAACAATGGTGTGCTTGGTTTTAAGATGCAGCACCTGAAACTACGGATACTGGAAGCCTGTGCTGGCATTTCTCCTGCGGTGTTGCTGTCAGTGTGTGAAGAGTGGGAGAAGAGGGTTGCATTGACAATCCAACACAATGGGCAGCACATTGAACACATTTTATAAGTGGTCAGAAACTTGTAAATAACTCATGAAAGAATAGAGTTACATTAAAATCAAGCACACCATTGCTTTTCTTGTGAAATTTCCAATAAGTTTGATGTGTCACATGACCCTCTTCCAATTGAAAAAACAAAGTTGGATCCAAGATGGCCGACTTTAAAATGGCCACCATGGTCACCACCCATCTTGAAAAGCTTGCCCCCTCACATATACTAATGTGCCACAAACAGGACGTTAATATCACCAACCATTCCCATTTTATTAGGGTGTATCCATATAAATGGCCACCTTGTAGTTAATAAAGCTTAAAATGCAGTTTAAAGGTTTAATAAGGTTAATTAGGCAAGTCATTGGACAACACTGGTTTGTTCTGTAGCTAATTTCTTAAGGGGCCTTATAATATAGACCACAGCTGTTCTTATTGTTATTCCAGCCAAAAAAAAAACAAAAACAAAAAAAAAAACAAGACTTTCTCCAGAGGGAAAATACAATAGGAAATACTGGGAAAATCTGTCAAACATCTCTTGGGAAATATTTAATGAAACTACATAAAAGTTCACAGGAAGGCTGTTAATGTTGTCTTCGAATGTATGTGACCCTGAACCACAAAACCAATCACAAGTGTGAATCTGTGAGGCGTATACATCATCTGAAACTGAATGAATAAGCTGTCCATTGATGAATGGTTTGTTAGGAATGAAAAATATCTGGCCGAGATACAACTGATTACAAATCTGGAATCAAAATATGATGAAAATTGCCTTCAAAGTTGGCCAAACTAATTTCTAAGCCAGGGGTGTCCACACTCGGTCCTGGAGGGCCGGTGTTCTGGAGAGTTTAGCTCCAACCCTAATCAAACACACCTGAACAAGCTAATCAAGCTCTTACTAGGTATACTAGAAACTTCCAGGCAGGTGTGTTGAAGCAAGTTGGAGTTAAACTCATCAGGACACCGGCCCTCCAGGACTGACTTTGGACTCCCCTGTTTTAAGCCATGCATGTTATTCATTCATTCATTTATTCGTTTTCCTTCGGCTTAGTCCCTTTATTCTTCTGGGGTCGCCACAGTGGATTGAACCGCCAATTATTCCAGCATATGTTTTACACAGTGGATGCCCTTCAGCTGCAACCCATACACTCTTACATTCACACACACATACACTACGGCCAGTTTAGTTCATCAATTCCCCTATGGCGCATGTGTTTGGACTTTTGAGGGAAACTAGGGGAGCACCTGGAGGAATCCCACGCCAACATTGGGAGAACATGCAAACTCCACACAGAAATGCCAACTGGCCCAACCGGGACTCGAACCAGCGACCTTCTTGCTGTCAGGGCACAGTGCTAACCACTGAGCCACCGTGTTTTTAACCCCATTGTCGGCGAATACTCAAACACACTTGCAGCCAATCAGCAGCAAGGGGCGTGTCTAGTAACTGTAGCTGAGATATTAAAAAGGGGCGGGTCCTCTTGGTTTATGGGCGTGTTTGTTTTGGTGCTTTCAAAAAACAAGATAGTTCGGCACAAATTGATTAGTGCACCTTTTTGGATAAACTTATGGTGGTAAATTTACAAAATAAATTTATAGAACATGATTTATACTTTTTTTTAAAAAAATGATTTTGGTATAAAATAAAAACTACAATTTTAACACACAATGTGTTGTTGGCTATTACCAAAGAGCTTAGAGTGACCAAGAGGAGACATTCAATAGAACGTTCCACTGCAACAGCAGCGTCCAGCAACAGCCCCAGATTCCTCCATTTTGGAGTGAAAGTGATCGGCTGTCCATTGGATCTTATTGTTGTCGCGAGCAGCTGCTTTGTTTTTTATTTATTTATTTAAAAAGTGCATTAAAGCTGACTTACAACCTGTAAGATAATAATACAACCCTTACTATCACAATCATCAGCACTTTTAATAGTTTCTTTTACAGACTTATATGCTGCTGTTCTGTTGGAGTTTTCATTCCAAAATGGCTGCCGCGCCCTCTAGTGGCTGTTTCCCAAATTGCACTAGAGTGTCGCCTCTTGGTGATTTTATGCTCTTTGCTATTACAACAAATAAACTTGTACAATTTAAGACTGGTTTTGTGCTCCAGGGCCACACATATTTAGAAAAAAATGTTTTTTTTTCCAGATTTTGATACTCACATTGATGAGGTTCCACACAACCCTGAGCAAGAGGTTATTTCCACAGGTGTGCTGCTTTTACAGCCTTTGCTGACCAAGAAGGTGCTGTTTTTCTGGACTGTACATTTGTTTTCCAGTGTACCTATGAGAAATAAAGAGCATTAGGTGTTACACAATGTCATATTTCTGAATATTATAAATAGTGCTGTTCCCTCTTGTTGTCTATGGCTCTGTGTAGTATTAATGTGCATTTCTGTCAATCTGATCACAAGAAGACGACACTGAATAAATGTTTTGAGCTTTTCCTCTTGAAATGAGAACACATTAGACTTTGGTTTTAGTTGTATATGTAATTAAATGACACATATTGTGTGAAAATGCACTGAAACTTGGTATTTGTAATCATACTTTACTTTCTTTACACCAAAAGACAGATTATGACTAAAACTGAAGTTGTCTTTGACATGTAGTACATTTGTAAGCTGAATAACATAGACTTCAGTCATTTAAAAGTGATGGAAAGCATGACAAAATAGGAGTCTTAATGAAGTCCCAACACAAGGCCTGCTGCTAAAAAGGGATACAGCTGCAGCCAGAAGTTAATGAGAATACCCATTAATTATTCTATTCATGTCTACCCCCACCCCAACCCTTCACACTAATGTAAAAACATTAAATATTGTTGTACAGTGTCACAAAAATAATGCTATTGATGTATCTGCAGCTGAATCCCATCTAGACTTCACCCAACAGAAATTGGAGCCATGTTTATACCCGATAGAAATGCTAATGAATCTCCACTCATTACTTGTGATCAGACCGCTGAAAGCATCTTAATACCAAGTGAAAGCAGAACCAAATTGTTTCAGATGCATCTTGAGATTCAAACGGCAAACTCATGTGCTTTCTAACTTGTTTAACCCATGCGACTGTAATGCAAACTGAATCTATTGTATACTTCAGTGTAATTAGTTCTATAATAAATAGTCCAATTGTTTTAATTGATACTCACAAGTAGGGCAGCAGCCGTCAGCATCTAATGTCTCGGTTCCCTGTTTAAAATGAAAAGACATTAACCTTTGGCCAGACCTGACTTAATCATCAACCAAATAATCTCAATCCACTTACAGGGATGCAATCTTCAGGATTGAACGCAGGACACACTGTCTTAATTTCGACCGGCATTGACACCCCATTGTTTCGTTCACACCTGTATGTCAGGCATTTGTCATCTGGCTGCCATGTTTGGTTAACCTGTTAATGGAGAAATATAGAGATTCTCAGTATAGTTAAAAGGGTCAGTTTCATGTTATAAAATACACGTCACACTTGTCAAAATGCTTGAATAAACGTAAAGTGAGACCTCACCGGAATGTTGACTGTAATGTTGTCATGCACGACAACACATTCGGTGCTCACACACTCTCCACAGCACTGACCGGGAAGTTTCCTGTACTCGTGAGTCTACAGGAAAAAAGGAAAATTAGATGATATGGCGTGGGGATTGATGCATAAGAGGGACATGGCATTACGTCAAGCGCATTCGAAAAGCTGGATGTCATTTCAATTTATTAAAAACAACAGAATTTATATACAAACTGAACACAGTCGTGTTATTTCTGGAGTATCACGACGTTTTATAACTGTTCAGACAATGAAAGTTACAGAAATTTGTTCTTTTTTTCCAAATCATGCATTTTTAGGAATTTTAACAGTAGATGGCGCTCTAGGCTATGGTTAACAGCTAATGGCGCTTTAGGCTAGATCTTTACAGTAGATGGAGCTCTAGCCTAGAGTTTAACAGTAGATGGCGCTCTAGGCTATGGTTAACAGCTGATGGCACTTTAGGCTAGATCTTTACAGTAGATGGAGCTCTAGCCTAGAGTTTAACAGTAGATGGCGCTCTAGGCTATGATTAACAGCTGATGGCACTTTAGGCTAGATCTTTACAGTAGATGGAGCTCTAGGCTAGAGTCTAACAGTAGATGGCGCTCTAGGCTATGGTTAACAGCTGATGGCGCTTTAGGCTAGATCTTAACAGTAGATGGAGCTCTAGCCTAGAGTTTAACAGTAGATGGCGCTCTAGGCTATGGTTAACAGCTGATGGCGCTTTAGGCTAGATCTTAACAGTAGATGGAGCTCTAGCCTAGAGTTTAACAGTAGATGGTGCTCTAGGCTATGGTTAACAGCTGATGGCACTTTAGGCTAGTTTTTAACAGTAGATGGAGCTCTAGCCTAGAGTTTAACAGTAGATGGCGCTCTAGGCTATGGTTAACAGCTAATGGCGCTTTAGGCTAGATCTTTACAGTAGATGGAGCTCTAGGCTAGAGTTTAACAGTAGATGGCGCTCTAGGCTATGATTAACAGCTGATGGCACTTTAGGCTAGATCTTTACAGTAGATGGAGCTCTAGCCTAGAGTTTAACAGTAGATGGCGCTCTAGGCTATGGTTAACAGCTGATGGCACTTTAGGCTAGATCTTTACAGTAGATGGAGCTCTAGCCTAGAGTTTAACAGTAGATGGCGCTCTAGGCTATGATTAACAGCTGATGGCACTTTAGGCTAGATCTTTACAGTAGATGGAGCTCTAGCCTAGAGTTTAACAGTAGATGGCGCTCTAGGCTATGGTTAACAGCTGATGGCACTTTAGGCTAGATCTTTACAGTAGATGGAGCTCTAGCCTAGAGTTTAACAGTAGATGGCGCTCTAGGCTATGATTAACAGCTGATGGCACTTTAGGCTAGATCTTTACAGTAGATGGAGCTCTAGCCTAGAGTTTAACAGTAGATGGCGCTCTAGGCTATGGTTAACAGCTGATGGCACTTTAGGCTAGATCTTTACAGTAGATGGAGCTCTAGGCTAGAGTTTAACAGTAGATGGCGCTCTAGGCTATGATTAACAGCTGATGGCACTTTAGGCTAGATCTTTACAGTAGATGGAGCTCTAGCCTAGAGTTTAACAGTAGATGGCGCTCTAGGCTATGGTTAACAGCTGATGGCACTTTAGGCTAGATCTTTACAGTAGATGGAGCTCTAGCCTAGAGTTTAACAGTAGATGGCGCTCTAGGCTATGATTAACAGCTGATGGCACTTTAGGCTAGATCTTTACAGTAGATGGAGCTCTAGGCTAGAGTTTAACAGTAGATGGCGCTCTAGGCTATGGTTAACAGCTGATGGCGCTTTAGGCTAGATCTTAACAGTAGATGGAGCTCTAGCCTAGAGTTTAACAGTAGATGGCGCTCTAGGCTATGGTTAACAGCTGATGGCGCTTTAGGCTAGATCTTAACAGTAGATGGAGCTCTAGCCTAGAGTTTAACAGTAGATGGTGCTCTAGGCTATGGTTAACAGCTGATGGCACTTTAGGCTAGTTTTTAACAGTAGATGGAGCTCTAGCCTAGAGTTTAACAGTAGATGGCGCTCTAGGCTATGGTTAACAGCTGATGGCGCTTTAGGCTAGATCTTAACAGTAGATGGAGCTCTAGCCTAGAGTTCAACAGCAGATGGAGCTTTAGGCTAGTTTTTAACAGTAGATTGTAATCTAGGCTAAGGTTAACAGCAGATGGCGCTCTAGGCTAGTTTTTAACAGTAGATGGAGCTCTAGCCTAGAGTTTAACTGTAGATGGCACTCTAGGCTATGGTTAACAGCTGATGGCCCTTTAGGCTAGATCTCAACAGTAGATGGAGCTTTATGCTAGAGTTTAACAGCAGATGGCGCTCTAGGCTAGTTTTAAACAGTAGATGGAGCTCTAGCCTACAGTTTAACAGTAGATGGTGCTCTAGGCTATGGTTAATAGCAGATGGTGCTTTAGGCTAGATCTTAACGGTAGTTGGTGCTCTAGGGTAAAGTTTAACTGCATGGCGCTCTAGGCTAGTGTTAAGCAGCAGACGGTGGTCTTGGCAAGTGTTTAAAAAGATGGCACTTTAGGGTAGAGTTTAACTGCAGATGGCGCTCTAGGCTAGTGTTTAGCATTAGACGGAGCTCTAGGCAAGTGTTTAGCAGGAGATGGCACTTTAGGGTAGAGCTTAACTTCAGATGGCGCTCTAAGGTAGAGTTTAACTGCAGATGGCGCTCTAGGCTAGTGTTTAGCAGGAGACGGTGTTGTTTGGTGTACAAACAGTCGTACTCTGCCTTCATCCAATTTCTTCCAAACACCATTTGAACCTAAAATAGTCTGTTTTGACTGCTCAGAACTTGACACAACACATGTCTGTTGTTCTGTTCATTGCAGGTCATGAAAGTTCAGCTTTTTATTCAGTGAGAACAGTCAGCGAATCAATATTTGACCTAAAGGACACCTTGGTTCAAACAGGTTTGATTATTTTTAAACAGCAGCATTTATAAACCAACAGAACTAGTCTTTCATTCATATCTAAATATCCCATACCTCCTCAGGACAGTACATCATGCAGGCCAATGAATGACACTCTGGAGCAAGAAGATTTGTTTCAGGATCAGTGTCCTGTCCGCACAGACACTGCGTACAGGGATCATCACTTGGTATGTTCGAGCCGGGCTAAATAAAGGGGATAAAGGTGTTTTAGATATTTTCTAAGAAACATATTTCTATTATGAACCAATCCTAACTTGTTGTACCTGATATACTGTGTTATTTTGGACACAGACTTCCATGGGTGCTGTAGACAATAACAAATGAATGAATGCAACGTACAACATCGAAGAACTGCAGTGTTTACTGAGAATAAGTGGATCATATACTCACAGCAAGTATACTCTGGACAGCAGGCATCTGCAGTTATGACTGGGGTAAGTGTGAATCCCGGTTGGCATTGCTGTGGTGGAGTAGGACACAGACTCGAATTGCAAGCTGGAGACAGATAGTTAACATTATTGTTAAGTAATTCCACATTATTTCTTTAGACTTCTTTTTTGGTTCTAGCTTAATAGTGGAGAAATACTGCTTATGAAATTTATTAAATTAATATTACTTAACATGTTATGTGGTATGATCTGTTCTAAAACTTACTGCAATCTTGGATCTCACAGCAGTCGACTGTTGCTACTGTGATAAGCATTTGTCCAGGTTTATCGCAGGTAATAGGTGGTGAAACAGGACAGTTTACAGGCCGGCAAATGACCGTCAGTGTTTGGCTGTCACACTCACACTTTTGACATTCACTCCACCAAGCCTCATTGGGCTGCAAAACCAATAAATCTTGTCAGGTTATTTAAAAATAATCATAATTTGACCAAATAACAAATGGCAAGAAGTGAACCCAATCAGTTTCAGATCAAATAATCACATGCCTTCACAAATGAGTGTGTAGTTTTATCATTCCACTTGTGGCCAAATGCAGGCTATAGGTACAATGCATTTAGATTTTGTTTTCCCATTGACATTTCACATATAAAAAAAACAGATTATTTAAAAATGTACCTGTCTAGGTGGATCAATGGCGTCACACCTAGGCAGAGAGGGTGTAGTTTCTTCAGTGATTGTATTAGTTGTCGAGATTATTGTCTCTGGCTCATTTGTGCCTGCTGTTGATGAACTAGAATACGTGGTTGTTTCGGGAGGAATAGATGGTGAAGGACTGGTTACACAAGATGTTGAAATCTTCACGATATTACAACTTTCATCACAGTATGCAGTGAAGCACCAACCAAAGCCATCGGTAACATTATAAATGATATCACCTGAGAATAAAATTCAGACATTTTCAGTTTCAAGTTATCAAATACTCAAAAGAAAAACAGGAGCAAATAATGTGTTGATACCTGAATGGAAATTTGTCTCATTCACAAAGCAACAAAACTCTGAGGTAGTTGAGAAAAGAGAGGAGTCTGTAGTCACTGGAATGGTGAGAGTGAAAAATGGTAGTGTTTTTGTAATGGGGGCAATTGAGGTCTCCATGGATGTAGAAAAGTAGAAAACATTTGTAGTAACAACTGGTGAAATTGTAGATTTGGTTGTTTCTAATGTTGTTCCTTCTTCTGAAGTAGTTGTGGCTGTAGTTGTCGGCTGGATTGTTTGGCCAGTTGTTACCACCTTCGGTGGCCTGGTGGTGGACAACGTTGTCTCAGAAGTGCTCAGTTCGTTCTCAGTAACTGTCTCAGTTGTTGTTACTACTCCAGTTGTTTCAGTTACTGTAGATGATTTGGATGTTGTGGACAAAATGCTTGGAGCTGATGGCTGCACAGTGGTACTTCCCTCCACAACACTAAAAGTCGTGGATGGGATGGCTGCTGTGGTGGTTGAAAGTGTTGTTTCAGCTTTGATTGGTTTTGTTGTTGAAGATGGACCCTGGGTACTGACCTCAAATTCAGTGGATGATTCAACACTCACTGTTGTGGACACAAGTGTAGTGACTGGTACAGCAGTTGTCTTTGTTAGTGTTGTTGGTTGAGTGGATGTTATGGCTGGTGAGGTTTGTCTCAGAGGGACAGATGTGCTTGATGGTGTTGAAGATTCAGGTGATGTTGCCGTAAGCTCCTCCACGGTTGTTGTGGCAGTAGTTGTCGGCTGGATTGTCTGCCCAGTTGTTACCACCTTTGGTGGCCTGGTGGTGGACAACGTTGTCTCAGAAGTGCTTAGTTCGTTCTCAGTAACTGTCTCAGTTGTTGTTACTACTCCAGTTGTTTCAGTTACTGTAGATGATTTGGATGTTGTGGACAAAATGCTTGGAGCTGATGTTTCTGTGGGTTGTTGGACAGTACTGCTTCCCTCTACAAGGACAGTGGTGGATGGAGTCTCTGCTGTGGTGGTTGAAAGTGTTGTTTCAGCTTTGATTGGTTTTGTTGTTGAAGATGGACCCTGGGTGCTGACCTCAAATTCAGTGGATGATTCAACAGTTACAGTTGTGGACACAAGTGTAGTGACTGGTACAGCAGTTGTCTTTGTTACTGTTGTTGGTTGAGTGGATGTTATGGCTGGTGAGGTTTGTCTCACAGGGAGTGATGTGCTTGATGGTGTTGAAGAATCAGGTGAAGTTGCCGTTAGCTCCTCCACGGTAGTTGTGGCTGTAGTTGTCGGCTGGATTGTCTGCCCAGTTGTTACCACCTTCGGTGGCCTGGTGGTGGACAACGTTGTCTCAGAAGTGCTCAGTTCATTCTCAGTAACTGTCTCAGTTGTTGTTACTACTCCAGTTGTTTCAGTTGCAGTAGACGATTTGGATGTTGTGGACAAAATGCTTGGAGCTGATGGCTGCACAGTGGTACTTCCCTCCACAACACTGAAAGTCGTGGATGGGATGGCTGCTGTGGTGGTTGAAAGTGTTGTTTCAGCTTTGATTGGTTTTGTTGTTGAAGATGGACCCTGGGTGCTGACCTCAAATTCAGTGGATGATTCAACAGTTACAGTTGTGGACACTAGTGTAGTGACTGGTACAGCAGTTGTCTTTGTTAGTGTTGTTGGTTGAGTGGATGTTATGGCTGGTGAGGTTTGTCTCAGAGGGACAGATGTGCTTGATGGTGTTGAAGATTCAGGTGAAGTTGCCGTAAGCTCCTCCACGGTAGTTGTGGCAGTAGTTGTCGGCTGGATTGTCTGCCCAGTTGTTACCACCTTTGGTGGCCTGGTGGTGGACAACGTTGTCTCAGAAGTGCTCAGTTCATTCTCAGTAACTGTCTCAGTTGTTGTTACTACTCCAGTTGTTTCAGTTGAAGTAGATGATTTGGATGTTGTGGACAAAATGCTTGGAGCTGATGTTTCTGTGGGATGTTGGACAGTACTGCTTCCCTCTACAAGGACAGTGGTGGATGGAGTCTCTGCTGTGGTGGTTGAAAGTGTTGTTTCTGCTTTGATTGGTTTTGTTGTTGAAGATGGACCCTGGGTGCTGACCTCAAATTCAGTGGATGATTCAACAGTTACAGTTGTGGACACAAGTGTAGTGACTGGTACAGCAGTTGTCTTTGTTACTGTTGTTGGTTGAGTGGATGTTATGGCTGGTGAGGTTTGTCTCACAGGGAGTGATGTGCTTGATGGTGTTGAAGATTCAGGTGAAGTTGCCGTTAGCTCCTCCACGGTAGTTGTGGCAGTAGTTGTCGGCTGGATTGTTTGGCCAGTTGTTACCACCTTCGGTGGCCTGGTGGTGGACAACGTTGTCTCAGAAGTGCTCAGTTCGTTCTCAGTAACTGTCTCAGTCGTTGTTACGACTCCAGTTGTTTCAGTTACTGTAGATGATTTGGATGTTGTGGACAAAATGCTTGGAGCTGATGGCTGCACAGTGGTACTTCCCTCCACAACACTGAAAGTAGTGGATGGGATGGCTGCTGTGGTGGTTGAAAGTGTTGTTTCAGCTTTGATTGGTTTTGTTGTTGAAGATGGACCCTGGGTACTGACCTCAAATTCAGTGGATGATTCAACACTCACTGTTGTGGACACAAGTGTAGTGACTGGTACAGCAGTCGTCTTTGTTAGTGTTGTTGGTTGAGTGGATGTTATGGCTGGTGAGGTTTGTCTCAGAGGGACAGATGTGCTTGATGGTGTTGAAGATTCAGGTGATGTTGCCGTAAGCTCCTCCACGGTTGTTGTGGCAGTAGTTGTCGGCTGGATTGTCTGCCCAGTTGTTACCACCTTCGGTGGCCTGGTGGTGGACAACGTTGTCTCAGAAGTGCTCAGTTCGTTCTCAGTAACTGTCTCAGTTGTTGTTACTACTCCAATAGTTTCAGTTACTGTAGATGATTTGGATGTTGTTGACAAAATGCTTGGAGCTGATGTTTCTGTGGGTTGTTGGACAGTACTGCTTCCCTCTACAAGGACAGTGGTGGATGGGGTCTCTGCGGTGGTGGTTGAAAGTGTTGTTTCAGCTTTGATTGGTTTTGTTGTTGAAGATGGACTCTGGGTGCTGACCTCAAATTCAGTGGATGATTCAACACTCACTGTTGTGGACACAAGTGTAGTGACTGGTACAGCAGTTGTCTTTGTTAGTGTTGTTGGTTGAGTGGATGTTATGGCTGGTGAGGTTTGTCTCAGAGGGACAGATGTGCTTGATGGTGTTGAAGATTCAGGTGAAGTTGCCGTTAGCTCCCCCACGGTTGTTGTGGCAGTAGTTGTCGGCTGGATTGTTTGGCCAGTTGTTACCACCTTTGGTGGCCTGGTGGTGGACAACGTTGTCTCAGAAGTGCTCAGTTCATTCTCAGTAACTGTCTCAGTTGTTGTTACTACTCCAGTTGTTTCAGTTGAAGTAGATGATTTGGATGTTGTGGACAAAATGCTTGGAGCTGATGTTTCTGTGGGATGTTGGACAGTACTGCTTCCCTCTACAAGGACAGTGGTGGATGGAGTCTCTGCTGTGGTGGTTGAAAGTGTTGTTTCTGCTTTGATTGGTTTTGTTGTTGAAGATGGACCCTGGGTGCTGACTTCAAATTCAGTGGATGATTCAACAGTTACAGTTGTGGACACAAGTGTAGTGACTGGTACAGCAGTTGTCTTTGTTACTGTTGTTGGTTGAGTGGATGTTATGGCTGGTGAGGTTTGTCTCACAGGGAGTGATGTGCTTGATGGTGTTGAAGATTCAGGTGAAGTTGCCGTTAGCTCCTCCACGGTAGTTGTGGCTGTAGTTGTCGGCTGGATTGTTTGGCCAGTTGTTACCACCTTCGGTGGCCTGGAGGTGGACAACGTTGTCTCAGAAGTGCTCAGTTCATTCTCAGTAACTGTCTCAGTTGTTGTTACTACTCCAGTTGTTTCAGTTACTGTAGATGATTTGGATGTTGTGGACAAAATGCTTGGAGCTGATGTTTCTGTGGGTTTTTGGACAGTACTGCTTCCCTCTACAAGGACAGTGGTGGATGGAGTCTCTGCCGTGGTGGTTGAAAGTGTTGTTTCAGCTTTGATTGGTTTTGTTGTTGAAGATGGACTCTGGGTGCTGACCTCAAATTCAGTGGATGATTCAACACTCACTGTTGTGGACACAAGTGTAGTGACTGGTACAGCAGTTGTCTTTGTTAGTGTTGTTGGTTGAGTGGATGTTATGGCTGGTGAGGTTTGTCTCAGAGGGACAGATGTGCTTGATGGTGTTGAAGATTCAGGTGAAGTTGCCGTTAGCTCCTCCACGGTTGTTGTGGCTGTAGTTGTCGGCTGGATTGTTTGGCTAGTTGTTACCACCTTTGGTGGCCTGGTGGTGGACAACGTTGTCTCAGAAGTGCTCAGTTCGTTCTCAGTAACTGTCTCAGTTGTTGTTACTACTCCAGTTGTTTCAGTTACTGTAGATGATTTGGATGTTGTGGACAAAATGCTTGGAGCTGATGTGTCTGTGGGTTGTTGGACAGTACTGCTTCCCTCTAAGAGGACAGTGGTGGATGGAGTCTCTGCTGTGGTGGTTGAAAGTGTTGTTTCAGCTTTGATTGGTTTTGTTGTTGAAGATGGACTCTGGGTGCTGACCTCAAATTCAGTGGATGATTCAACACTCACTGTTGTGGACACAAGTGTAGTGACTGGTACAGCAGTCGTCTTTGTTACTGTTGTTGGTTGAGTGGATGTTATGGTTGGTGAGGTTTGTTTCAGAGGGACAGATGTGCTTGATGGTGTTGAAGATTCAGGTGAAGTTGCCGTAAGCTCCTCCACGGTAGTTGTGGCAGTAGTTGTCGGCTGGATTGTCTGCCCAGTTGTTACCACCTTTGGTGGCCTGGTGGTGGACATTGTTGTCTCAGAAGTGCTCAGTTCATTCTCAGTAACTGTCTCAGTTGTTGTTACTACTCCAGTTGTTTCAGTTGAAGTAGATGATTTGGATGTTGTGGACAAAATGCTTGGAGCTGATGTTTCTGTGGGATGTTGGACAGTACTGCTTCCCTCTACAAGGACAGTGGTGGATGGAGTCTCTGCTGTGGTGGTTGAAAGTGTTGTTTCAGCTTTGATTGGTTTTGTTGTTGAAGATGGACCCTGGGTGCTGACCTCAAATTCAGTGGATGATTCAACAGTTACAGTTGTGGACACAAGTGTAGTGACTGGTACAGCAGTTGTCTTTGTTAGTGTTGTTGGTTGAGTGGATGTTATGGCTGGTGAGGTTTGTCTCACAGGGAGTGATGTGCTTGATGGTGTTGAAGATTCAGGTGAAGTTGCCATTAGCTCCTCCACGGTAGTTGTGGCAGTAGTTGTCGGCTGGATTGTTTGGCCAGTTGTTACCACCTTCGGTGGCCTGGAGGTGGACAACGTTGTCTCAGAAGTGCTCAGTTCGTTCTCAGTAACTGTCTCAGTCGTTGTTACGACTCCAGTTGTTTCAGTTACTGTAGATGATTTGGATGTTGTGGACAAAATGCTTGGAGCTGATGGCTGCACAGTGGTACTTCCCTCCACAACACTGAAAGTAGTGGATGGGATAGCTGCTGTGGTGGTTGAAAGTGTTGTTTCAGCTTTGATTGGTTTTGTTGTTGAAGATGGACCCTGGGTACTGACCTCAAATTCAGTGGATGATTCAACACTCACTGTTGTGGACACAAGTGTAGTGACTGGTACAGCAGTTGTCTTTGTTAGTGTTGTTGGTTGAGTGGATGTTATGGCTGGTGAGGTTTGTCTCAGAGGGACAGATGTGCTTGATGGTGTTGAAGATTCAGGTGAAGTTGCCGTAAGCTCCTCCACGGTAGTTGTGGCAGTAGTTGTCGGCTGGATTGTCTGCCCAGTTGTTACCACCTTTGGTGGCCTGGTGGTGGACATTGTTGTCTCAGAAGTGCTCAGTTCATTCTCAGTAACTGTCTCAGTTGTTGTTACTACTCCAGTTGTTTCAGTTGAAGTAGATGATTTGGATGTTGTGGACAAAATGCTTGGAGCTGATGTTTCTGTGGGATGTTGGACAGTACTGCTTCCCTCTACAAGGACAGTGGTGGATGGAGTCTCTGCTGTGGTGGTTGAAAGTGTTGTTTCAGCTTTGATTGGTTTTGTTGTTGAAGATGGACTCTGGGTGCTGACCTCTAATTCAGTGGACGATTCAACAGTTACAGTTGTGGAAACAAGTGTAGTGACTGGTACAGCAGTTGTCTTTGTTACTGTTGTTGGTTGAGTGGATGTTATGGCTGGTGAGGTTTGTCTCAGAGGGACAGATGTGCTTGATGGTGTTGAAGATTCCGGTGATGTTGCTGTAAGCTCCTCCACGGTAGTTGTGGCTGTAGTTGTCGGCTGGATTGTTTGGCCAGTTGTTACCACCTGCGGTGGCCTGGTGGTGGACAATGTTGTCTCAGAAGTGCTCAGTTCGTTCTCAGTAACTGTCTCAGTTGTTGTTACTACTCCAGTTGTTTCAGTTACTGTAGATGATTTGGATGTTGTTGACAAAATGCTTGGAGCTGATGTTTCTGTGGGTTGTTGGACAGTACTGCTTCCCTCTACAAGGACAGTGGTGGATGGGGTCTCTGCGGTGGTGGTTGAAAGTGTTGTTTCAGCTTTGATTGGTTTTGTTGTTGAAGATGGACTCTGGGTGCTGACCTCAAATTCAGTGGATGATTCAACACTCACTGTTGTGGACACAAGTGTAGTGACTGGTACAGCAGTCGTCTTTGTTACTGTTGTTGGTTGAGTGGATGTTATGGCTGGTGAGGTTTGTCTCAGAGGGACAGATGTGCTTGATGGTGTTGAAGATTCAGGTGAAGTTGCCGTAAGCTCCTCCACGGTAGTTGTGGCAGTAGTTGTCGGCTGGATTGTCTGCCCAGTTGTTACCACCTTTGGTGGCCTGGTGGTGGACATTGTTGTCTCAGAAGTGCTCAGTTCGTTCTCAGTAACTGTCTCAGTTGTTGTTACTACTCCAGTTGTTTCAGTTGAAGTAGATGATTTGGATGTTGTGGACAAAATGCTTGGAGCTGATGTTTCTGTGGGATGTTGGACAGTACTGCTTCCCTCTACAAGGACAGTGGTGGATGGAGTCTCTGCTGTGGTGGTTGAAAGTGTTGTTTCAGCTTTGATTGGTTTTGTTGTTGAAGATGGACCCTGGGTGCTGACCTCAAATTCAGTGGATGATTCAACAGTTACAGTTGTGGACACAAGTGTAGTGACTGGTACAGCAGTTGTCTTTGTTACTGTTGTTGGTTGAGTGGATGTTATGGCTGGTGAGGTTTGTCTCACAGGGAGTGATGTGCTTGATGGTGTTGAAGATTCAGGTGAAGTTGCCGTTAGCTCCTCCACGGTAGTTGTGGCAGTAGTTGTCGGCTGGATTGTTTGGCCAGTTGTTACCACCTTCGGTGGCCTGGTGGTGGACAACGTTGTCTCAGAAGTGCTCAGTTCGTTCTCAGTAACTGTCTCAGTCGTTGTTACGACTCCAGTTGTTTCAGTTACTGTAGATGATTTGGATGTTGTGGACAAAATGCTTGGAGCTGATGGCTGCACAGTGGTACTTCCCTCCACAACACTGAAAGTAGTGGATGGGATAGCTGCTGTGGTGGTTGAAAGTGTTGTTTCAGCTTTGATTGGTTTTGTTGTTGAAGATGGACCCTGGGTACTGACCTCAAATTCAGTGGATGATTCAACACTCACTGTTGTGGACACAAGTGTAGTGACTGGTACAGCAGTCGTCTTTGTTAGTGTTGTTGGTTGAGTGGATGTTATGGCTGGTGAGGTTTGTCTCAGAGGGACAGATGTGCTTGATGGTGTTGAAGATTCAGGTGATGTTGCCGTAAGCTCCTCCACGGTTGTTGTGGCAGTAGTTGTCGGCTGGATTGTCTGCCCAGTTGTTACCACCTTCGGTGGCCTGGTGGTGGACAACGTTGTCTCAGAAGTGCTCAGTTCGTTCTCAGTAACTGTCTCAGTTGTTGTTACTACTCCAGTTGTTTCAGTTACTGTAGATGATTTGGATGTTGTTGACAAAATGCTTGGAGCTGATGTTTCTGTGGGTTGTTGGACAGTACTGCTTCCCTCTACAAGGACAGTGGTGGATGGGGTCTCTGCGGTGGTGGTTGAAAGTGTTGTTTCAGCTTTGATTGGTTTTGTTGTTGAAGATGGACTCTGGGTGCTGACCTCAAATTCAGTGGACGATTCAACAGTTACTGTTGTGGACACAAGTGTAGTGACTGGTACAGCAGTTGTCTTTGTTAGTGTTGTTGGTTGAGTGGATGTTATGGCTGGTGAGGTTTGTCTCACAGGAACCAATGTGCTTGATGGTGTTGAAGATTCAGGTGAAGTTGGCGTAAGCTCCTCCACGGTTGTTGTGGCTGTAGTTGTCGGCTCGATTGTTTGGCCAGTTGTTACCACCTTCGGTGGCCTGGTGGTGGACAATGTTGTCTCAGAAGTGCTCAGTTCGTTCTCAGTAACTGTCTCAGTTGATGTTACTACTCCAGTTGTTTCAGTTACTGTAGATGATTTGGATGTTGTTGACAAAATGCTTGGAGCTGATGTTTCTGTGGGTTGTTGGACAGTACTGCTTCCCTCTACAAGGACAGTGGTGGATGGAGTCTCTGCTGTGGTGGTTGAAAGTGTTGTTTCAGCTTTGATTGGTTTTGTTGTTGAAGATGGACCCTGGGTGCTGACCTCAAATTCAGTGGATGATTCAACACTCACTGTTGTGGACACAAGTGTAGTGACTGGTACAGCAGTTGTCTTTGTTACTGTTGTTGGTTGAGTGGATGTTATGGCTGGTGAGGTTTGTCTCAGAGGGACAGATGTGCTTGATGGTGTTGAAGATTCAGGTGAAGTTGCCGTAAGCTCCTCCACGGTTGTTGTGGCTGTAGTTGTCGGCTGGATTGTCTGTCCAGTTGTTACCACCTTTGGTGGCCTGGTGGTGGACAACGTTGTCTCAGAAGTGCTCAGTTCATTCTCAGTAACTGTCTCAGTTGTTGTTACTACTCCAGTTGTTTCAGTTGAGGTAGATGATTTGGATGTTGTGGACAAAATGCTTGGAGCTGATGTTTCTGTGGGTTGTTGGACAGTACTGCTTCCCTCTACAAGGACAGTGGTGGATGGAGTCTCTGCTGTGGTGGTTGAAAGTGTTGTTTCAGCTTTGATTGGTTTTGTTGTTGAAGATGGACCCTGGGTGCTGACCTCTAATTCAGTGGAAGATTCAACAGTTACAGTTGTGGACACTAGTGTAGTGACTGGTACAGCAGTTGTCTTTGTTACTGTTGTTGGTTGAGTGGATGTTATGGCTGGTGAGGTTTGTCTCAGAGGGACAGATGTGCTTGATGGTGTTGAAGATTCAGGTGAAGTTGCCGTTAGCTCCTCCACGGTAGTTGTGGCAGTAGTTGTCGGCTGGATTGTCTGCCCAGTTGTTACCACCTTTGGTGGCCTGGTGGTGGACAACGTTGTCTCAGAAGTGCTCAGTTCGTTCTCAGTAACTGTCTCAGTTGTTGTTACTACTCCAGTTGTTTCAGTTACTGTAGATGATTTGGATGTTGTGGACAAAATGCTTGGAGCTGATGTTTCTGTGGGTTGTTGGACAGTACTGCTTCCCTCTACAAGGACAGTGGTGGATGGAGTCTCTGCTGTGGTGGTTGAAAGTGTTGTTTCAGCTTTGATTGGTTTTGTTGTTGAAGATGGACCCTGGGTGCTGACCTCAAATTTAGTGGATGATTCAACACTCACTGTTGTGGACACAAGTGTAGTGACTGGTACAGCAGTTGTCTTTGTTACTGTTGTTGGTTGAGTGGATGTTATGGGTGGTGAGGTTTGTCTCAGAGGAACAGATGTGCTTGATGGTGTTGAAGATTCAGGTGAAGTTGCCGTAAGCTCCTCCACGGTAGTTGTGGCAGTAGTTGTCGGCTGGATTGTCTGCCCAGTTGTTACCACCTTCGGTGGCCTGGTGGTGGACAACGTTTTCTCAGAAGTGCTCAGTTCGTTCTCAGTAACTGTCTCAGTTGTTGTTACTACTCCAGTTGTTTCAGTTGCAGTAGATGATTTGGATGTTGTGGACAAAATGCTTGGAGCTGATGGCTGCACAGTGGTACTTCCCTCCACAACACTGAAAGTAGTGGATGGGATGGCTGCTGTGGTGGTTGAAAGTGTTGTTTCAGCTTTGATTGGTTTTGTTGTTGAAGATGGACTCTGGGTGCTGACCTCAAATTCAGTGGATGATTCAACACTCACTGTTGTGGACACAAGTGTAGTGACTGGTACAGCAGTTGTCTTTGTTAGTGTTGTTGGTTGAGTGGATGTTATGGCTGGTGAGGTTTGTCTCAGAGGGACAGATGTGCTTGATGGTGTTGAAGATTCAGGTGATGTTGCCGTTAGCTCCTCCACGGTAGTTGTGGCAGTAGTTGTCGGCTGGATTGTTTGGCCAGTTGTTACCACCTTCGGTGGCCTGGTGGTGGACAACGTTGTCTCAGAAGTGCTCAGTTCGTTCTCAGTAACTGTCTCAGTTGTTGTTACTACTCCAGTTGTTTCAGTTGAAGTAGATGATTTGGATGTTGTGGACAAAATGCTTGGAGCTGATGTTTCTGTGGGATGTTGGACAGTACTGCTTCCCTCTACAAGGACAGTGGTGGATGGAGTCTCTGCTGTGGTGGTTGAAAGTGTTGTTTCAGCTTTGATTGGTTTTGTTGTTGAAGATGGACCCTGGGTGCTGACCTCAAATTCAGTGGATGATTCAACACTCACTGTTGTGGACACAAGTGTAGTGACTGGTACAGCAGTTGTCTTTGTTAGTGTTGTTGGTTGAGAGGATGTTATGGCTGGTGAGGTTTTTCTCAGAGGGACAGATGTGCTTGATGGTGTTGAAGATTCAGGTGAAGTTGCCGTAAGCTCCTCCACGGTTGTTGTGGCTGTAGTTGTCGGCTGGATTGTCTGTCCAGTTGTTACCACCTTTGGTGGCCTGGTGGTGGACATTGTTGTCTCAGAAGTGCTCAGTTCATTCTCAGTAACTGTCTCAGTTGTTGTTACTACTCCAGTTGTTTCAGTTGAGGTAGATGATTTGGATGTTGTGGACAAAATGCTTGGAGCTGATGTTTCTGTGGGTTGTTGGACAGTACTGCTTCCCTCTACAAGGACAGTGGTGGATGGAGTCTCTGCTGTGGTGGTTGAAAGTGTTGTTTCAGCTTTGATTGGTTTTGTTGTTGAAGATGGACTCTGGGTGCTGACCTCTAATTCAGTGGACGATTCAACAGTTACAGTTGTGGACACTAGTGTAGTGACAGGTACAGCAGTTGTCTTTGTTAGTGTTGTTGGTTGAGTGGATGTTATGGCTGGTGAGGTTTGTCTCAGAGGGACAGATGTGCTTGATGGTGTTGAAGATTCAGGTGATGTTGCTGTAAGCTCCTCCACGGTAGTTGTGGCAGTAGTTGTCGGCTGGATTGTTTGGCCAGTTGTTACCACCTTCGGTGGCCTGGTGGTGGACAACGTTGTCTCCAAAGTGGTCAGTTCATTTTCAGTGGTTTGTTCTTCAGTTGTCTGACGTGTTGACACAGATTGTGATTGGGTGGAAAGCGTTGTCCATGGTTTATCTGTGACTGTAGGAAGTGTTTTTGTAATAGGTGCAATTGAGGTTTCCATGGTTGTTGTTAAGATGTTTGTTGAGGTTTCAGATTCTGATGTTTTCTTCATTGTTGTGGGTAAGGATGTTGATGGCTTTGTTGTTACATATACTTGTTGTTCTGTTGAATGTTTAATTTCTCTAGTAGAGGCAGTTTGAATAACTTCTGCTGTTGTTCCAGTGGTCAGTTGCTCTGGCTTCTTGGTCGTGTATGAAACTTCAGAAGTTGTGGATTCTATGGTCAAGTAAAGTAGAAATTGAATGTAAGTGAATGAACAATTTATGAAATATAAATCATTATTAAACAAGAATTAGATCCAATTTTAATTGAGAAGAATTGACTTGTGCTACTAAAATCTTACCACATCAATTTTAAAACTAATGCATAAATTATGATTTATAATGCATCATCTCCATCTATATATTTTATCCATATATTAAGAATAAACACGACTGTAGACATGAAAAAAGTACCTGGAGTGCTGAAGACAAAAACTGTTGTCGGGGTTGGTGTTGTGATCAAGCTGGATGTGGTCGTTGGGACTGTTGTTGTTTCACAAGGATCTATACTTCTTTCAATAGTGCCATTGACTGAACATATGCCTGTGATACAGCCTCCAAGTCCATCCGTTGTGTGATAAATGATGTCTCCATAATAGTATGTATCATTATTGTATTGGCATCTGCATGCTGAAAATGAAGCAAAAGTATAAGAAAACATATCTTTTTTATACCATTTTAAACTAAACTATAACTGAAATATGAGAGATCTTACCATTTATATCAAATTCACAAATAACTCCAGTTGATGAACAGTTACTAATTGGGGAAAAAGCACATGTATCACATGTAATCTGTTTGAAATATACTTGGGACACAAATTAGATACAGGTGTGTAAGTTAAAAATACACACATACCATGACTGACAGTTCTCTGTAGTTGGCACTTGCTCTCCAACCTCATAATGTTCCATGTCAACAAAACAGCCACACTCTTCCTGCTTCACACACTTCATGTTATCCTCATCAAAAACAGGCTGCTCTTGAGGGCATTGGGGATAGCAACCTACAAATTATTGTACAAATCAGATTTATTTTATATACATGAAAACACAAACACTCCATCTATAATGTGTGACAAATGTTTCCAAGATATTCTTCAACAATTAACTAAATTACTTGTAGAGTATCTACAGTTTTATGTATACGCTGAAAACACTATGATTAAAATAGGTATTTAAAAGTATACAGAATATAGTTCATGTCATAGCATTGCTTTATAACACTATAAATACTGATTAATAATAACATAATCACCTTCAAGCGCTGGTATCTGGTTTGAGCACTGTTCATCTGGATTTCTGCATGTCTTCATGCAAGGAGCTCCGCAAGGTTTGTAATGCCACTCACATTCACCGGGAGGGTTGTAATAATCACAGAACAAGGCTGCAATAAAAAGAGAAACCTTAAAGTTCAGGATTCAGGTTTATAGTCAGTCCTTCACAGCATGTTTGATACAGCTTTCAGGCACTTACGGCAAATTTTCGGAGATCTCCAGGCAACACAAGCTCCGGCCTCATTGCAGGCTTGTGCATAAGCTGTTACAGCAGTGCAAAAACACTCATAATCTCCACCACTATCACAGGCGCATGCGTCTCTCACACAGGCATCGTAGAACGGAGATGGATCGACCTGTAAAGCCGTATTCATAATAATGGAGCTGCCATTTGATTTTAAGACAAGTAATGGATAATGTACATCCAGCCGGTTGTTTATGTAGAATCAAGGTTTATCGGCATGTTTATACCAGTTTAACAAGCAGGTTTAGCAATAATGGAAATATTGTATTAATAAATGTTAATACTCTAGATCAGGATACCCAATCCTGGTCCTGGAGGGCCGGTGACCCTGCAGTGTTTAGCTCCAACTTGCCTCAACACACTTGCCTGGGTGTTTCAAGTATACCTAGTAAGACCTTGATTAGCTGGTTCAGGTGTGTTTGTTTAGGGTTGAAGCTAAAATCTGCAGGACACCGGCCCTCCAGGAACAAGTTTGATGACCCCTGCTCTAGATGTTTCCCAGTGATGGGTTGCAGCTGAAAGGGCATCCGCTGCCTAAAACAGATTAATAAAGGGACTAAGTCGAAAAGAAAATGAAGGAATCAATGAATACTCTAGATGCAATCTCAGCATTCAATGAGGAACAGTGGTTTATCTCTAAAATATTATTGTTTGCTTGGATTAATTCATGCTAGTCGGAAATAATTTTTTGGGAAAGAATTATTAGTGCAGTAAATCAATGTTTTAAAGTGGGTTTCACAATATTATGATTGTGCAAAACATATCTCAAGTTCTCAGGTTTTTTTTAGAATTGATAATTAAGGGAAAATACATCTAGGCAATTGTTTTCGCATAATAAAGCCTGCCAAGTTAATCAGCTGCAATGCATGAGACTGAAGGGCTTATATAAATATGAATTTTAATAAATCAGTCAAAATGATTCAGAGCTTCCAGATGAACCTGTGTTATTCGTTTCACTGGTTGTTATCTGAGAATAACATACTTTTGAATGCTGTCATTGACCAATCAGAATTAAGTGTATATAAAAAAAACATTTAGCTTATTGTGATTGGAGTGTGGGAGACAATGTGGCTTATGGGTAAGCACTGTCACCTCACAGCAAGAAATTTGCTGGTTTTGCCAGTTGGCATCCATGTGTTGGCGTGGGTTTCCTCTAGGTGCTCCGGTTTCTCCCACAGTCCAAAAACATGCGCTATAGGGGAATTGAATGAACTAAATTGGCCGTAGTGTATGAGTGTGTGTGTGAATGAGTGTGTATGGGTGTTTCCCAGTGCTGGTTTGCAGCTGGAAAGGCATCCACTGTGTAAAACATATGCTGGATAGTGTAAGTTGGCAGTTCATTCCGCTGTGGCGACCCCTGATGAATAAAGGGACTAAGCCGAAGGAAACTGAATGAATGAATGGAGTGCAAGTACCTGTGAATGGCAGGCTGAGAAGACGCTGCTAGTAATGATGCTGCACTGTCTCTGTGCCCAGGCCTCTCTGTATGGATTATGGGCGCATGGATCTTGGATGAGGGTTGCATCTGGACAACTGGAAAGTTTCCAGCTGTTTGCGAAATCAAGGGCTTGGACAGCAACTGCTTGAGTGCGTGTGGTGAAGTCATTGTTCGCGTTCCCGTCATAGTTTCCACACAAACCACAAACACGGCCCTGTTCATCAGAATAGAAGAGTATTACTGACATGCATTTTTGATTCTGTTTATATTGACCTTATTCTTGATGTTCAAGAAGGTGCAGCCATTGGAGCTTTTTGGCTCGAGACTTCCAGACTCATTTACTTCCATTGATTTATAGATGATAAAATGACTTTTTTTGCTGCTTGATGTTGCAAACTGATATTTTCTCACTATATATATATATATATATATATATATATATATATATATATATATATATATATATATATATATATACAGTTCTTATGTATATTCATGAACACTTGTTTATAGAGCAAATAGTTTGACTGTTTACTGCCATTTATTATTCTTAGTCATTTCTCCTATAGGAAACTGAATCAAAAATTCTAAAACAATCACATAATGGAGCACACTTCCACATCGCAGAATAAGGTCAATAATAGAGGATGAAGCCAACAACAGTCATAAATCACAGTGGGAATTTAATTTATATAATATTATTAGATACTATAGAGTTGATATTTTATTGTATGTGACATATGTATAGTATGTTCGAAATGTCAAAATGTAAAATAGTCCTGTGTAAAGATTAATCGCATTCAAAATAAATGTTTGTTTTGAGATAATATATGTGTGTGTACTGTGTGTATATTTATTCATTATGTGTATATAAATACACACGTGCATGCAAATATTTGAGAAATTGTTTATTTTATATATATATATATATATATATATATATATATATATATATATATATATATATATATATATATATATATATATGTGTGTGTGTGTACTTTCACATATACATATGAAATATATTTATACTACACACACATACACTATCGGTCAAAAGTTTCGGGGTCGGAAATATTTTTAAATGTTTTAAACTAAGCTCATTCTGCTCACCAAGGGTGCATTTATTTCATCAAAAATTCTGGAATGTTATTGCACTGTATAAAATAACAGTTCAAAAGTAGTTTATGATTTAATTAAATAATTTATTCCAGTGATTTTAATGATGAATTTTCAGCTTTATTACTTCAGTCTTCACATGATCCTTTAGAAATTACTCTAATATTAATTATTCATATTAATATTAATAATAATAATAATAATGGTATTAGTAATTAAAGCAATAGTGACTGGAGTAATAATTTCATTTTAAACTACATACAATAAGTAATGAATGAATATTTAATAAATAAATATTTTTTTACATTTTTTTCTTTAATAAATGCTGCGTTGATGAACAGAATAATTTATTTAAATTATTAAATAAAATTAATAATAATAATAAAAAAACTGACCCCAAACTTTTGAATGGTAGTGTATATTATGTCAAAACAAACTTATATTTTGAATGTGAGTAATTTCTGCCCAGCACTGGTGTGAACCAGTTATGATAAAAGTATTAACACTGAAATAGAATTTAATTTAATTAACTCATATTTGCTTTAAATGCTTATAAACCCACATATTTATTTAAATCCAAACAGCATTAAACAACATAAATGTTGCAGTATTGTTTTTTTTACAAATTAAAAACACACATTTTACTTGCATAAACTTTCACTTTCAGATGAACTTAATGCTCTAATGTACATGCAACAACATTAAGTCACAAAAATGTGTGAGATTTGGGGAAAAGTTGTTGTTGTTTTTTAGGCACAAAAAAATATAAAAGTATAAAATGAATCTATATATTTACAAAAAGACTCGAGTCCATATATGTTTAAACTCTAAACTGAACTAGAAAAGAAACATGTTTTAAGAATGGTAATATGCTAAAATCCAGAGATAATATTAAATAAAAACAATTGTAAACAAACACTTAACAAAATGCATTGTATGTTTTGGATGTCCTAAAGTAAAGATTTGATCATTGATTGATTTTTATGGATCTCTTCTGACTCAAATCCAAAATCCTGAGGACTGACATGAATGATAATAGACCTTTTATCTTACTCACATTATACTCTGGTCCCAGTTTGATGTGTATAGTTGTTTTTCTGTCCCATATGAGCATCAGGCCATTTTTGGTCTCGATCACCAAGTAAAGCCCCATGGTTCGCATCTGGTAGGGAATCTCCTCTCCCGCGTCTCTGCGAACAACTTGGAAGGATCCATCAGTCAGTCTCAGCTCATTGCTCTGAAATATAAAAGACATGTCGATGTTTAATCTGTAGTATTTTAATGTTTGCTATGATGGCTTTAGTGAATGTCAAGAGTTAACCCACTCCAAGGAAAAGCTTGATCGCCTTGGAGCAAGTGGTGCCGGTGGATCCGCAGGGAATGTTTTCAGTGATGACTCTGAAAGTGCCGGAGGTGCTGTTGCAGAAGTCCTGCACAGGGTGTAAAGGTTAGATTTTTGTTAATTATTTGTTGTATTTTATTTCATTTTTATTGAAAGTAACAGAAAACAGAACAAAAACAACCAAATACGCATGCAAAAACCCACCAAAACAAACCGAAAGATCTCTAGCAAAGGACTCTAGAATTATCTGGAGGCTTTTGGAAATTTTACAATTATTTTAAGTGCAGAGTGAATACCTGAACGAGGCTGTATTCGCAGTTTCCACTAAAGACGTATCTTTTGTCATCAAATGTTCTGTAATGTCCATCTCCATAGATGCTGCATGTGGCACTGCACTGGTTTGTGGTGCAAGTCCATCGTCTGTTCTGGCAGGAACTAGAAAACAAGAAATAGTTAAGCACACATGTTTGGGTTTTCATGTTTTATGAGGACTCACTATTGCCGTACTGTACAGGCTGCATTTTCTTTCCCAAACCCTTTTTCTAAACCCAACCCTCACAGGTAACAGTTTGGAGTTTTACACTTTCAAAATGCTTACCTTTGAATGATTTATGAGCCATTTTCCTCTTAGGGAATAACAATATGTCCCCACAAGGTCAAAATCTACAGGTATTGCTATATGTGTGGGTATATTTTTTCTTAAACATATGAAGAATAACAGGACCACACACACACACACACACACACACACACATATACTTGTATACATGGTTTACAGGGACACTCCATAAGCGTAATGTATTTTAGACAGCAAAAACGTGTATTATAATCCACTCCTAACCCTAAACCCAACTCTCACAGGTAACAATTAGCACTTTGACATTTAAAAATACTTAAATCTGGATAATTTATGAGCTGTTTTTCTCATGGGGACCAACAATATGTCCCCATGGTCGAAATCTACTGGTTTTACTAAACTTGTGGGTATATTTGGTCCTCAGAATGTGAGGAATAACAGGACCACACGCACACTTGTATAAATGGCTTAGGGGGACACTCCATAAGCATAATATATTCTATACAGTAAACAAAATTATGATTTATGAGCCGTTTTCCTCATGGAAACAATATGACCCCACAAGGTCCACATCTACTGGTATTGTTATATTAGTGGGTATATTTAATCATCAGAATGTTAGGAATAATAGGACCACACACACACTTTCATACATGGTTATGGGCAGGGGTGTCCAAACTCGGTCCTGAAACGCCGGTGTCCTGCAAAGTTTAATTCCAAACTCAATCAGACACACCTGGGCAAGCTAATCAAGCCCTTAAAGGCTTTCTAGAGACATCCTTGCAGGTGTGTTGAGGCAGGTTGGAGCTAAAATCTGCAGGACACCGGCCCTCCAGGACCGAGTTTCGACACCTCTAGTTTAGAGGGACACTCCATAGGCATAATATATTTTAAACAGTAAAAATAAATGATGATTTATGAGCCGTTTTCCTCATTGGGACCAACAATATGTCCCCACAAGGTCGAAATCTACTGGTATTACTATACTTGTTGGTTTATTTGCTCCTCAGAATGTAAGGAATAACAAGACCGCACACACATGCATACTTGTATACATGGTTTACAGGGACACTACATAGGTGTACAGCAGATTATCCAGCAAATAATCCATTATACAGCAAAAAAATGCTTATCATATGGCCCTACCCCACCCCTATCCCTAAACACAACCCTCACTGGTAACAATGAGCAGTTGATACTTCATTCTGGATGATTTGTGAGTTGTTTTCCTTATGGGGACCAAAAATATGTCCCTACACATATTTGTATACATGGTTTACAGGGACACTCCATAGTCGCAACGTATTTTATACAATAAAACACTTATTATATGGCCCTACTCCACCTAAACACAAAACCTAACCCTAATAGGAAACCCATGGCAATTTTTAAATGTCATAACACCCCCTTAAATATGGTTTTTAAGCTTTTTAAATAATCTAAACCAGCTTAATAAAGTACATGGTCATACCCATGTTATTATTCAACTTCGAGTCCCTGTAAACCACATACAAATTATTACATACACACACAGACAATCTTAAAGAGCTAAACCCACCATGTATTACAGTCAATCTTAATGCTTTCTCCAGACTGGTAGGTGTGTCCATTATGGATGCAGGGACACTGGTCTTTATCGATACAGCCACCGTTCCCATCAGACACCAGTCCAGAAGGACACACACAGCCAGAAACACACCCTGTGCTGATCTGCATGCAGTCCATATACAAAACACATTCACTATGTAACCTTTCATTACAAGTTAAGGTCAAATTGTAATTTAAGGATCAATTCTCACCATTAACTACTGGCTTATCACCTGCCTATTATCAAGATATATTAATACTTATAGGTCTAGTTTCACAAACAAGGCTTAGCTTAAATCAGGACTAGAACTTAGTTAAATTAGCATATTAAAGCCACTTTTATAAATAAGCTATAAAAAACATTATTGGTGTGAATTCTGGAGACAAAACAATGCCACTAAGGTATTTTAAGATATCTAACTGCAAGTTACTTTCAGTTAAGACAGCTCAAACATGCAATTTAATCTAAGACTAGCCTTAAGCATCGTCTGTGCAACCGGAGGAAGTGTGATCTTTTTCTACATCTCTAATCCTCCATGACTATTAATAAGCAGCAAATTAGGAGTTTACTGAGTGTACTGAAAATTTCTTCATTTTTATTTTTAGATTTTTAAAACAGTATAACATTCCCATCTTAAAAAAAAAAACTGACAGTAATACAACTGATTTAATATCATATTTAACAGCGCTCTGCATAAAAAACATAATTAATTAAATAAATCAATAACAATATGATACAGAATAATAATACTAATAAAATAAAATACTATAAATGTATAATAATAAATAATAAAAATACACAACATTCAGGGTTTAGGTATTTCCAGTTACCTTAGACTGTACATACAATCTAAAGGAGATCACGTCATAATTTCTCTCATTACATTTTGGTAACACTTTATTTTAGGTCACAATTCATACTGTTAACAAACCATTAACTATGACTTGTAGCTCAATAACCAACTAGTTTACTGCTTTTATTAATAGTTATTAAGGTAGTAAATGGGTTTAGATTTAGGGTATAGGATTGGGGATGTAAAAAATAATCATACTTTATTGACCTTATTCTAAAATGCGGAAGTGCGCCTGTTTTCGCGATTGTCTTAGAACTTCCGTTTCAGTCGCCTATGGGAGAAATGACAAGGAATAATAAACGGCAAAAAACGGTCAAACTACTTGCTCTACAAACAAATGTTTGCATGACTATACAGACCAAGTAGAATAATAAAACAAGGAAATATCAGTTTGCAACATCAAACAGCGAAACGAGCAGTTTTTAATGTCTAAAAATGAATGGAAGTGAATGAGACCGGAAGTCTCGTGCCAAAAAGATTCAAATGGCAGCGCCCGCTCATCTGCGGAGAATAAGGTCAATAGCTACTAATAAACAGTTAATATTATACTAATAGACAGGTAGTATGCCAGTAGTTAATAGCGTGTATACTTACTTAAGATAAATGGTAACACTTTATAATAAGGTTGTATTAGTTAATGATAAAGCATTTACTAACATAAACAAACACTGAACAATAGTATTTGTTTATGTTAGTTATCATTAGTCAATGAAAATACAGTTGTTTTTTAGTTTGTTAACTCAGTGCATTAACCAACGTTAACAAGCAGGAATTGGATGTTAATAGTGCATTAGTAAATGTTGAATTGTGCAAAAGTCAAAGTTAATGGTTTGTTAATTTTGAGAATTGTGCCTTAAAATATTAAGAGATTAACATCAACATAATAATATATATTTTTAGTAATAATAATGTGCAATAAATATTACTGTTTCTACTCACGCAGGCCATGTCAAGTGTGTTGCAGCTCTTCTGACACTCTGCTCCCTCTGACCCGGGACTGGCGCTCGAGCAGTTGAAAAACCTCATTGGCTCTGTGCACTCTGAAATGAAAGATTTGTAGACTTGAGAACAACAGTAAAATCACTTTAAGGTACTGGATGTTAAATATAACAGAATCACTGCTTGTTATCAGTGTGTAAACCTGAAATGGCTTCAATGTAGGTTTAATATACGTTCCCACTTTGTATTAATGGCCTTGCTTATTGTACTTACTCTGAAACTAATCATTTGTACTGAATGTGTAAATAGTTTTTTACATTGTACTTTAGATTGATTGGATAACTGCATGTTATAGCATCCTTAATTACACTGCTGACCCATCCTTTTACTTTATGCATTAGTTATCTAAATTCGTCCAATCAGATTGGGCTGTGCTATCTTTAGTCCTGCCTCCCCAGTAGTAGCTGTTATGCAATTGGCTGGAGCGACCCTGATTCACATACATACCTTCTCCATTTGATACACCAGAGCAGCTCAGTTTCCCTTGCTGGCAAATACTGAAATTTAAACATACATGCGATTAAAATACATTGATTAAACAGTTGTCCAATATTCTGAAGTGTGACCCCACAAATATTGAATTTAGCAGAAATGTGCATACCATGATCCTCCGTCTTTGGAGATGGTCTCTCCTAAAGCAACGACTTTGCCTGAATCGTAACAGGAGCAGGCGGCAGCTTCAACACAGTCTCCGTTCTCATTCATGTACTTTCCTTCAGCACAGCCGCAGCCGTCCACCAGCACATGATCATGGGTGCAGGAACCGTCAGCCTGGCTGAGAGACCTGCATGTGCGCCCGCAGCTCGTCATCTGATATGAGTAAACTGTGGTGGCGGCGCAGGTTTCTGTGTATTTCACTGAGGGGAAAAATAGGAAGATTCATCAACCTGATGAGCATACGCAAAAATACAGTTAAGGGCGAAATTATTCACCCTCCTCTGAAATATTTGTTCCTTTTTAAATATTTCTCAAGTGCAAGGAAATTTTTACAGTATTTCTGATATTTTTTATAATAATTTTAAGAAATTATTATTTGCTTTATTTTGGCTAGAATAATTTTTGTTTTGTTTTTTCAATTTAAAACTATTTTAAGGTCAATATTATTAGCCGCCTTAAGCTTTTCTTTTAATTGTCTACAAAACAAACCACTTACAATGACTTGCCTTCCCTAACTTGCCTAATTAACCTTAATAGTGAAGTTTTTTAAATGTCACTTTAAGCTTAATACTAGTATCCTGAAGAATATCTAGTCTAATATTATGTGCTGTCAGCAAAACTGATAACAAATCAGTTATTAGAAATTAGTTAGCGTGTCTCAATTCTCTTCCTGTTGTGGTTTTGTAAAAAGAAAAATAATAATGATAATTAATAATTAATAATAATAACAATAATTTTAACAATAATAATAATAATAAATTGTTATTATTATTTATTTTCTTTCATTCCAACTTCTCTTTCTTTGAAATATTTTTATATAGTTGTGTATTTATACATTAACATATATATATATATATATAGTTCTATACTAATCATATATAACATTTTCAAACATACATTTGTGCATGTATGTGTGCATGCATGTGTGTATGTTTCTATTCAGAGAGAGGGTATAACAATCATTCATAATTTATTTAATTTATTTACATTTTTTGTGCTTTTGTTTTGACTTAATTTGTTTTGTGTCTTGCTTTACTTTCACAGTATGTTTTTCCTCCTATTTTGTTCTGTATGTGCTACTTTGTATGGTTCTAAAAGCAAATAAGCAATAAATAATTGATGTATTGCATATGCAGAATGGAATGTCCTAAACAAGAACATTAGACCATTTAAGAAAGCGTACAAACACTGACAATATACCACTTATAATATTTTCTACACAATTGTGAATATGCTACACACACACAAAAAATAATAATTAATTAAAATACAAAAAAAGTTGGCCAAGAAGCTATCAGCCGTTTCTAAAAAAAGAAAAGAAAAAGGCTTACTGCATGCAGCGTCTCTCCATCCCTCAAGCAGGATCCCTCTGGCGGCACAAGCGTGTGCGTATGACGATAAAGCAGCACACATGCAGTCCTCGCTCCTCTCACAGTTACAGCTGTCGTAGATGCAGTTCTGGAAAATACGGCCACATTTAGAGAAAACTCTTCAATGGGTTAAAAACGAGAGGGAAAGCCATGCGACTCACTGCTTTGTAGACTTCAGGGTTGACTTCAGTGTGACACGGAGCAAAAACTGACGAGGAATCAGACAGCAGGGAACACCAGTGCTGTGCATATTGCTCTGTCAAACAACAAAACACCCGTTTACTTGACAAATGAACAAAGGGTCAGTTCACGCAAAAAATGAAAACTGTAATCATTTACTCATCCTCCACTTATTTAAAACCTGTCCGAGTTTCTTTCTACTGTTGAACACAAATGAAAATACTAAATTGCTGAAAAAATTGCCATTGACTTCCATACTATTTTTTTCTGTTTCTACTATGAGCACTAAATGAGTTTCTACTAAAAGTGTTTATTTTAGTATATAAATTTACACAATAATGTATATAATGATATAAAATATTTAGTATCACTTCGTATTTTCACCTGAAAACAGAGATGTCAAACTCTATATAACACAGCTCTGCACAGTTTAGTCTCCACCCTAATTAAACACACCTGGTCAGACTAATTGAGTCCTTCAGGCTTGTTTGAAACCTCCAGGTAAGTGTGCTGAAGCAGGGTTGGAACTAAAGTGTGTAGGGCTGCAGGCCTCCAGGAACTCAGTTTGACACCCCTGCCTTAAAATACAAGTGTGACCAAATATTTGATTCTGTTTATTTGCAGTTTTTATACACTATTAGACAATATTAACTACATTATTATAACATACATTGATTAATTTAAGCTTTATCCAACAATTTCTGCACTTTTAAGACATTCTTCTGATTAATTTGTTTCGTTTTCGACAGAAGAAAAAAATCATAAAGTTTTAGAATCACTTGAGTCTTGTAAGTATTTTTTTAGGTGAATATTTAATGGTATTTTAGAGTTATAACATCAGTATGTATTCTGTAAACCCCATGATGATAATTCATACCGTTTTCTGTGCTCAGACTGCACGGGTTCTCAAAGCTTCTCTTAACATCTGGGCAGCTTGCTCTTGTTTTCCAGGTGTTGGCAAAATCCAGAGCTGTTCCTTCCCGGAGTCCACCGATGGTTGTGAAGTCATCAGCCTCCATGTTGTTGTAATTGCCACAAAGACCTGAGGATCGAATTATTACCTCAATTAATCTACGGCATACAGTTAAATGAAGATATATAGTACAGGTAGAAAACATAAAGACTTCAAAGATATATGTGACCCTGGACCGCAAAACCTTCAGTTTTTGTATGAATAAACAACAATACATTTATTAAATTATACATATTTTTAGTATTAAGTAAAGATCTTGTTTTATGAAAATATTTAGTACCACTGTAAATATATCAAAACTCTTTTGCTACTGAATTTAATTAGTGATGTGCATGGTTAAGAACCTAATTAGCACAACTTTAAAGGTGATTTTCTTAATATTATGATTTTATTGAGCCCTTAGTTTTATCTCAACCAAACATTGTAATATAATATAATAGATCAATAGAAAGCTTATATATTCCTATTTCAGATGGTGTGTAAATCTCAGTTTTTAAAAAAATGAGACTTACAACTATTTTCGTGATCCGGGGTCACTTAAAATAAATAAATAAACATGAAGATTTATTATATCTGAGTAATAATAGTACTATATTTTAATTTAATGGCATGTCTGCATCTCAGGCTATTTTCATAATACAGCAGAATAAAGAAGCTATTTTCAAGAATAAACAATATACAAATAACAATAAAATAAATAACAATAAAAGCCAGCTAATTTTATTACACGTACATTTTTTTGACTTAAGATATTATGATGAAGAAATTCTGGCAAAGTGATGCTAAAACACCTCTTTAATTGAGTTAACTCGATTAAATGGGCGTTATCAGTGGTTATCAGCTGATAAATATGGGCCAGTATAGGGGCCTTCTGCGCCTACTAGTAATCTGTAATCATCCATCCACATGGTTAATCAGCTATAGATCACTTACGGTTATTTACGGTACGGTTACGATTATACACTTACATTATTTATATTATTTATTAAATTTCCCATTAATTGTATTTTACTACGCCAAACCAAAACCCAACCGTCACAGTAATGTAAAAACAGATCTGGATCTGGAGTCTTCTCTATTAGTATAGCTGATTAACCATGTGGATGGATGATTACAGCCTTCTGAGCCTACTAGTAGGCGCAGAAGGCCCCTACTGGCCCATATATATCAGCTTATAACCACTAATAACACCCATTCAATCAAATGATAACATTTGAATCGGGTGGTTTACTTCATAAAAGAGTTCAAATTAGGACAGAGTTGTTTCTTCACTTTTAAGCCAGAAAATATTCAGACTTGTATGTAGGCAAATACCACTTGATCAAATCTATACGTACAAAACATTAAAAATCCTGTTTGAAATTTCCAGATGGATGTTTTTATAACTATAGTTGATTCTGCTAGTTGATAGTGCATGAAAGGGTTAAATATAACAAACATGTAATAAATAAAGAAAGAATAGAGATAAATACCACATGTTTCTCCTTGATACACTGAATTGGCTGTGATGTAAAGCTGCATTATTGGCACCAGCTGGATCTCCAGACGAAGCCCAATCAGCGGAGCTTCAATGATGATGTAGAATGAGGAGGGCTTGAAAACACTCACTGAAGCTGGAAATCAGATAACAGCATGCAACATTATTAATACATGAGGGAAGATTTGATTTTTTGTAATAGTTAATTTTGCATAGTTGCATCATTTGCATAGATAATATACATCTTATCTTTGTTATCAATGTATTTCATTCTATTTATTCACATTGTGCTGTATTGTGTTAACGTAGGGGGGACAAAAGTAACTGCATTATTGTAGCAGAAACTGATGCTTTGATTTTGTTGCTTTGCCATAGACTTACATGTAAAAAGTGGAAGTTGAGCAACTATTCTGTTGACCTCAACGTTTCCGCTGGAGTCCACATTAATAACCTGTGTGCATAAAAGGTTTATAAAGGGGTTGTAAAGCTGTTATTAAGCCTTTTATGCAAAACATGATTTTTTTCCCCTAATTCATTTAATACTTACAGTAATTCCATCAAACAACGCCACGGTTATTGCCTTCAGACAGGTTTCGGTCTCAGTCAGACCACATTTCACCAGGTCTCCTAGAACTGTGAATTCTGTGCCAGAGCAATGCTATCAGAAGATAAAATACATTTAATTGAGCTGAAAACCGCTGAGAATTATAAATTAAAGTAAATGCAAATAACAATTGCATTAAATATATATTTATTTAAAAACATTATGTACACTGCATCACAATATTTACATTTTTAATTTGCAGAAATGCATATAGTTGTAAACTAAATTCATTGCCCTCATTTGAAACTTTAATACTTTTTCAGTTATTTCCCAAGTGCTGTTTAACAAAAGATTTGTGTGTGCATATTTAAAAAAAAAAAAATTATCACAAATTTCTATGTCATTTACTTTAACTTTGCCACAATGAAACTACATAATATTTGACTAATTATTTTTCAAAATACTAGTAAACAGCTTAAAGTGACATTTAAAGGGTTAACTGGGTTAATTAGTGTTAATTAGGTTGTTTTTTAGCCAATCAAAAAATTATAATTTCTTAAGAAGGTTAATAATAATAATGATCTGAGCAGAAAAAAGATTTATTCAATTATTTAATAATACAAAAATAATAATAACAATAATAATAATAATAATAATAATAATAATAACTTTCTCCAGATACAAAATATGATGGAAAATACTGTAAACATCACTTAGGAAATATTTGAAAATTTATAAACATTTCACAGGACTAATGATTGTGTCTTCAGTAGTATATAATGTCCTGTACAGCGGTCATATAAATAGAATTGTCTTCAAGCTCAGAGATGTACATACTTTGGACAGGACGTAAGTGCAGTCTCCGTGAAATGTGTATGCTTTTCCATCAAATGTGGTAATGTGGGATCCGCCCTCCACTGAACATGAATGGGGACAATCCTTAATGTAACAATCCCACTGCCCCTGGTCACAGGTGCTGAAGGAGAAATAACAATGACCAAATGAGCTTTTATTTAAACATTGCATAATTAAGAGCAAACAGTGAGGGTGAACTTTAAACACACTGAAATAAGTGAAACACCTGTGTCTTTCAGTCAGACCTTTTTATTTTGGGTTAAGAGAAAAGTTATGGTTTCTGATTTTATACTATGTTTTTTAATTTGCACGCTAAATTCAGTTATTCAATTCATTCACTTATTCAAATAGCAAAAAAAAAAAAAAAAAAAAAAACACCCTAGGTAAACTTTAAAACATTTACAATTTCTCAAAGTAATATTTTTACTTTAATCCAGCAGTTTTAATGTCATGTGACGACACGTGCTTTCAGATTTGATGTATTTCTAATGCGAGTCTGGTCACCATCTTGCATGACAAATAGTACTGAAAGCACCAGCAGATCTTGAAAATAAAGTAACCAGCAATAGCTAGTCTATATATTATTAATACTACTATTATTATATGTTATTAAGAAAAATAAATATAATATATAATAATATAGTACTATAATTATTATTTGATATTCAGAATAATAAACATAATTTTGTGCCTATATGCTCAAAATTAAATAAATTGAATAGAAATTAGTCTAACAGTTAGTATAGTCTATACATTGCATTTTTTATTATAGTTTAGTCCAAAGTACAACTTTTCTTGGGTTTTGATATTAAGTTGACCCACTTATAGTCTATAAAACAATATTTAACCTTTGAGTCGATGTACTTTTCCCCCTTGGGCAGATTAAATATTTGTATAAAATACATATTTATTTTCAACAAAGTCCAGTTGTTTTTTAGGTTGGTCCAAAGTTAGATTTTACTTTGATCTAAGGATAAAAAAGGTCGTTTTCTACTTTATGCAAAAGGAAAAATTAATTTAGTGTCTCTAAATGTGAATGTAATTTAACACACAATACATATTTTTGATTTAGATTAAACTAAAACGTATAGTTTAAAGTTAAATTATACTGTGAGGAAAAACAGCAATAAATAGCGTTAACTAATGACAGTCATTTTTTTTTTAAAGCTGGTAAAGTGTCATTTCTGAGAGGCTCACCAGTCTCTGCAGTTGCTGGTGTAGTTTTCCCCAGAGGCGTATATTTTCCCGCCGAGGACGCAGGAGCATTCAGTGTATGGTATACAGCCGCTCTGATGGATATCGTCATAAACAGTGCCTTGAAGCGAGAGAACGATGAAAATAAGTCATATGGTTCATCCTTGTGACTTGAGAAAGTATGCATGTGTCCAGAAGAGCATGATGAAAGACTCAATACTGATTTAATAGCTAGCTAACAGATCCTCATTTACAGTATGGGTCACACTTATAATCCCTGGCATACAAAACAGGCAGAAAACAACAAGCAATACATTAATGACATCATTGCAAATAAAGCAGTTTCTGTATTATTTACTCTTTCAAGACTTTACACTAAGCTGATGTTGATTATAAAGCTTATGCTGTCCCGGGAGAGACCTCATAAGATCCTCGAGCCCAGGGCTCCCTCCCGTTTGCAAGGCGAGAGGGGAGTTTGAGCTCAGGTAGATCTGAAGAACTCCTCTGCTGTAGTAGCTAATGAATGAGATAACTTATTACTAGGAGCATGTCTGTAGTGCCAATTTAGATTCGTCAATTAACTTAAGTTGCATGTTTTTGGACGGTGGGAGGAAACCGGGGAACCCGTGAAACTCACATGAGCACGGGGAGAACATGTAAACTCGGCACAGAAACTTGGCTGGCTTGGTAAGGACTAGAACCAGTGACTTTCTTGCTGTGAGGCAACAGCGATAACCACTGCACCACCGTGTCCCCATCTAGGAAAAGAGGAGGTGTAGGGGTGGAAGGGGGGATTCTTCAAAATGAAGATAGCTGTTATATGAAGCTTAGGGTGTTTATAGTGCTTGGGAATCGTCTGATTGGTCAATTATAAATGGAATAATGCAGGACCGGCAGCATAAGCATATGATCCTCTCGAAATTAGTCTATAAGTAAACTTCACTAAGTATATTGTGTTTAAATGGGAATTTGTGGTTTAGCATCAGAATCTGACTAAAGACTTTTGATTAGGAAGGTAAAAATGTAAATCAACATGTTTTTGAATAAAGTGTCCGTAAAGAAAGCCATGGTTAAAAAAAACTGTACCAGGAGGGCAGAAGCATCCATCAATGCAGTGCTGCGCACACACTTGTCCTCTTTCAGAGTTGGTACAGGTGTCTGTGCAGGGATTTCCACACTGGCTGTACACCATGGTTTCTGGGCAAGGATGAGCTGTGATATACAAAACAAACAAATAAAAGTCAGTTGCAGTGCAGTTTTGTGCTTAAACTTCAGATTATTATTATTGTTATTATTTTAGAAACCTCTGCTCTAGAAATAATCTGCCAATGGGGTGAGCAAAGTAATCTTGTTTTCGGTTTTATATACGATTTTAGTTTTTTCTTACCCCTCTGGCAGATTATTTAGCTTGTTTTAAGGGCAAAAAATACATTTTGACATATTATTTCTGAAAACGAGACCATGCTTTTCTGATGTCTAGAACACTATTCTTGATTTAAGAATTTTTAGATATTCGGGCTTGAAACAAGTCAAAAACTTGATTTTTGCAGTGTAAAATCCACTACTACCCGGCTCTGACAGCTAAAATTTAATATTAAACCAACATGAATGCAGGACTACAAAGATGAGGCAACTCACGGCAGAAATACTCAGTTCTCCATTCTTCAGGTTTTCCTCCTGCATGCACACACTGTCTGGAATACTCAGCGATCGTATCACACAGGCAGAAAGCTCCAGAAGAGCTGTTGCAGTGACACAAGTCTTGAATGCAAACTTGAACAAAGGAGTCAATGGACACCAGACCTCTGCAGTCACTGAACACTGGACTGGAGAAAATATCACGGCAGAAATTCTGTGGGGAATCAGGAAACACAAATATTCAGCACTGTAGCTATCCAGGAGGAAAACACTGATATTGTTGCAGGTTTCTAGTATTAAGCTGTAGAACGAAACGATGGAAAAATAATTTCACACCAGCAGACATTAGACATTACAATAAGCCATAGACTAAAGCAGAGGTGTTTCGGTGACTTGTATTTTTTAGATCGTTTTAAACATTTATTTGGGGGAGGAGGTGGACACTTGAAGTGATTATTCATTTATTCTTTATAAGTGTTTTTATGTTTATGTTTTATGTCTTAATGCTCATTTGGTGTTGTTACTATGTGAGTTCCTTTGTGTGGCACTGTTATGAGATGAGGACTCTTGACTGCAAATTAAATCTACCTTCGAGTATAAATAAAGTAAAGTAACCTAACCTAATTAATAACTCAAAATGCTGATTAATATGCACATTCAAAAATGTAGATACAAAGTTATATCTGTGGCATGAACCCTGAATTTATTGCTATTGGATGGAACATAATGCCTGAAGATAATACACAATAACATTGCGATAATATATTATTGACATGGTTATAATACAGTTCTTAACATCTCAAGACCCTTTAATTAAATGCATTTACTAAACATCAGATGACAAATACAAATATCTATTAGTATGTATGTTTATTCCTTTTAATAATAAAAAATAATAACAATAATAATAATATTATATATATATATATATATATATATATATATATATATATATATATATATATATATATAATATCTTTATCTTATATATTTATTATTTGTATTATTGTTATTATTATTATTAAATGATTAGTAAGACATTTATTTTATAATAATATAATTATTATTTTAATATCCAGACTCCAATAAACATAACTATGTTCCTATATGCTTAAAATCAAGTTAAATTAATTGAAATGAGTCCAAATTTCCTTTGTCAGTCAAAACAGTGGATTTACATAGACTGAACTGAAACACACATTACAAAGACTATATTAATGTATATTACAGTGTTTTGAACTAACAGTACAGTACTTTAATTATTCTATTGTGGTAATTATATAGTTAGTATAGACCCAATACTGTATTACACTACAATACACCACAGTTTAATGTAGTAAATGCTGATGTATACTACAGTATTTAGTACAGTTTATCGGTTCACTATAGTTAATACAGCAGCATGGTTGACAAAGTGTTGTAAATACTATAATATATACTGTAGTATAATACATTTTACTGTAGTATAATTCAAAAACACTATAGTATTTATTGTAAATTATTACAGTATTTCTATATAAATACTATAGTGATTACTAAATCTTACCTCATCTCCACAGTTTTCGTTCAGAAACATGGTGTCTTCAGTGCAGGTTTCTGTAGGGCCGTCCAACTTCCAGAGATTCCCATAATCAGAGACAGACAGCGAACTCCCTAAAATCCAAGAGATGAAATGATTGTTTACTGTCACGTTAAACATGATTTATATTTATTTATCAGATGTACTTCTCAATAGATGGCAATGGTGACTTAAAAAATGTACCTCCACTGACAAACTCATTGTAAACTGGGATGCCATTGAAGTCCCCACACAGTCCACACGTTTGGTTCCGGTATTTTTCATCTAACCTGATCTGAAAATCAATAAAAATAAATCATATATTGATAACACTTTACAATAAGACTATAAACACACCATCAACTGATGCTTTTAGCTCAATGAACTGTTGATTAGCTGCTTATTAATAGTCAGTAAGGTAATAGTTTGGATTAGGCTTTAATTAGGGATGTAGAATAAGTCAAACTTTATAATTACTAAATAACTGTTAATATCACAATAATAGGCAGGTAACAAGCCAGTAGTTAATAGCATAAATATTTAAATTGTTATCCAATAAGGTTCAATTAGTTAAATTGAATATTTTTTAGGTTTTAATTTAATTTAATACAGCATTTATTAATCAACTACACTGTAGAAATATCTATAATTAACAGTTTTACATATTTTGTGATTCATGTTTTTATTTTTCCTCATTTATTTCTGCTTTTGAATTGCATTATGGGATCTTGATATTTCTTCCAACAACTTTTAACCTTGAAAATTAAAAAAAGTGACTTTAACATTTTAACATTTTCAATAGTTTAAAGTGATTGAAAATGTACTGGCAAGTTTTTGTAGCGTAATATACAACACCAATCCAGACAATATGTTATTTTACAGACTTATTTGTCTTTATATTATTTTATATACACTATATTATTTAAAATGACTAAAATGTCGATTAAAGTCACTTTGTTAAACTGTGGAGTTTAACTTTAAACATCAAAAGTGGACAGAGCAGAGATCAACATCCCATAATGCAATTCACAACCATAAATAAACACAGCTCATTTTTTACAGTGTAGTTCAACATTTATTAATGCAAAAATAAAAGTTGTGAACTAATTAATGCACTGCGAGTTAACAAGACCTAAAATGACTTTATAACTAACATTAATAAAGAAGAATAAATACTGAAATAAATGTTAGTAAATAAACTAACATTAACCAATGGAGACTTATTGTAAACTGCAACCCATCTACATAATAACACATACATTTCTGATCTTTAAAGAGTGCTGTAGGCACTATTGCTGATATGTGTGACATACCATGAAGGAGTCATCTTCATTCCACATGGCTACTAGTCCCAAAGCCGCCTTGATTGAGATATAAGAGGTCACCCTCTCGATGAAGACTTCAGCGCTGCTGTATGGCAGTGTTACTCTACAGAGAGAGCGGGATCATTAGGCTCAGTGTGCTTTTACCTTTACAACACTTAAATTCAACAATTTCCCACTATGTGAGTAACATGATCTGTTTACATTTTAAACTTTTAAAGCAGTCATTGTGTGATTGTTATTAATGAACAACAAGCTTTTTGTCAAAAGGAGCCTTAAATAAGTTGCCTAATATCTTTACCCTTATACAACTATTACACAGCTACAACATTACAACAAAATGATAGTAATTACTCCAAAGACCCGAGACAGGAGTTGAATCTGGGAGGAATTTATAACTGCACTGATATATCAAATAAATGGTCACAGCCTAGTACATGAATAAAGTCAAATAAGAGAGCAAAGACTGTCATTCACAGTTTTATATTTATGACTGGACATGAAAGTGTTCCACTGCCTCACAATACAAACGTTAAACTCAGCATGAATCAAGCACCTAAGACAGGAGTCCTAATGGATTGAGGTTTTGAGCTAATATCGTATGTTTACAAGCTGTTTAAGCCTTTTAAAATCTGTTAGGTGGAGATTGTTTTTTATATGTTCTAGCTCTATTTACTCTTACACTGTAAATATATAGTCATTCTGCACTTATGATCCAAGCTTACGTCCCATGAAGTCAGAATTATCAGCCCCCCTGAATTATTCGCCCCCTGTTTATTCTTTCCCCAATTTCTGTTTAGCGCTGAGCAGATTTCTACAACACATTTCTAATCATAATAGTTTTAATAATTCATTTCTAATAACTGATTTATTTTATCTTTGTCATGATGACAGTAAATAATATTAGACTAGATATTCTTCAAGACACTTCTATACAGCTTAAAGTGACATTTAAAGGCTTAACTAGGTTAATTAGGGTAACTAGGCAGGTTAGGGTAATTAGGCAATTATTGTATAACGATGGTTTGTTCTGTAGACTATCAAAAAAAAAAAGCTTAAAGGGGCTAATAATATTGTCCGTAAAATGGTGTTTAAAAAATTTAAAACTGCTTTTGTTCTAACTGAAATAAAACAAATAAGACTTTATTCTAGAAGAAAAAATATTATCAGACATACTGTGAAAATGTCCTTGCTCTGGTAAACATAATTTGGGAAATATTAAGAAAATAAAATTCAAAGGGGGGTTAATAACTCAGACTTCAACTGTATATATATATATGCATGCAAGGTGCCCAAACACAAATAGGCCCATGTCTATTTTTCATTTAACTTTGAAGAACGCCACTCCATGTTCCATGTATCTTTGGAGATCATCCTCCATGTTCAGTTGTGGCCTGTATATTTTTTAATAGTTAAAGTTTAACTTATTGGTGCCATAAAATCAATCTGCTGTATCTGACACTATTGCTTTGTCTTTAATATAACGTAATCACAACACATGCATGTTGGTTTTCTAAACGTAACTAGTAACTACTATTTTTATCTTCTTTTGGTTATGGATAAAATATGCAAATTCTAATGGTTTAATTAAATGAATTACATTTTTGGAAAGCACCAAGCAACCCGTCCTCACTATCCCGCGACCCTGTGAGGTGTCCCGACCTCCACTTTGGGAACCACTGCCCTAACTTGCCTAGTTGACCTAATTAAGTCTTTAAATTGCACTTTAAGGTTTTAAAAAACTAGTAAAAAAGTACTGCAAGATTGCACGCAACACATAAAAGTGCGTTTCCCCAACACTGAGAGCCAGTGCACTCCTGTAAGCAGATTGACTCACGTCTGTCCATTAACACTGAGAGAGTCTCTGCTCAGCTCGATGATCGTGCCCTGCAGCTTCATGGTGATCTTGCTGACGGTGGGCTCGTTGTTCAGCAGCTCGTGTCTCAGCTGGACATTGAAGTCTTCGTAACTGCTGGAACAGTGTGACGTCAGGATGTAGTTGCAGGTCGACGGGAGCTGGAAGTAATCGCCGTCGAAGGTCTTGTAATGGTAGTTTCCCCATGTGCTGCAGATCAGCTCGTTGTGCTGTGAGGTCAGTCCTGGAGGAAAGAAACACATCCTTCATTTTTTGAAGACCTTTTAATTCTGAATTATTTATAAATGATAAATATATTTGTTTACCTGCAACCATTTCAATTGTGGCGGTTGGAATCAGGTTCATCGTTGTGAAAACTGCAGGAGGATTTTAAGAAATATTTGTTAGTTTTAACATATGCAACATATAGGAACATGCATGATTAAATTAAGCTTATATTTTGTACTTTTAATAAATACAACATAATTAAAATGAATGTCAAATATTTATAAATTTATTATATTTTTTATATGCTTATCATTGCCTGATATAAATATTTATACTGCTCTGCAATATTTGAGTGCTTGATTCTGATTGGCTGATGAACATTCTACAGTCAAAAATAGATATTTTTACTTGTTAAAACTACTTAATTTCCCAAAGATGGGTTGCGGCTGGAAGAGCATGCGCTGCGTGAAAACATGTGCTGGATAAGTTGGTGGCTCATTCCGCTGTGGCGACCCCGTATTAATAAAAGGACTAAGCCGACAAGAAAATGAATAAATGAATGAAAATTACTTCATTAAAACGAGCTGAAAGAACACAATTCTTGATCTTTCATTGGGACAACTTAATTTTTTATGTTCAATCCACATAAATTTGTTAAAAGTGTCAAGTTTACTTAATCGATTTGTGTTGGCACAACATGAACGAATTGTGTGGAGCCCTGCATTTTTCACAATGTAAGGTTTTTTTCAGATAAACATGCAGCTAAAGTAGTTCCGGCAGGTTTTGAGTGCATAACAGCTCCATATCCCTGCGCTGAATGATTAGAGTTATTTAACACCTACAACAGTCAGAAATCACACCTAAACCAACAGAAGAATTCATTTGTGTTGTATTTAAAATAAAACAAATATTTTTTTTTAAATTTAACTTAATTTGTGTGTTTAAATCCAGCCCAAATAAATTGTTCACAGCCACTTAAAATAAAAAAAAATTTAGTAAATCCAAGGATCATTTCTGAATTATTTTTTCAGTGTAGTGCTACACACAGGAGCGGAAATATAAGTGTAATAATTGAGTCCAGTTTGAATAATTATTATAAAAAAATGCATATCTTAGGTGTAACTCAGGTGTGCCTTATTTTAGAAAAATTCAATGGTCCGTCATCAATTATTCCTTATCATAAATAATGTAAACAATTATCATGCATATTTAAATATTCCACTAATTATCATAAAATATAAATATATTTAACCAATTACTATAATAATTTTTAATGAATAGTTTTTTTATTTATTATTACTATTACTCATTCTATGTTAATAATAAAAATAAGGTTTCACAATACACTGCATTACTGTGTCCATGTTCAGTGTAATTATCCATCTATTTCCTTAGTATTTCATTCATTAATTTTCCTTCGGCTTAGTCCCTTTATTCTGCAGGGGTCGCCACAGCAGAATGAACCACCAACTATTCCAGCATATGTTTTACGCAGCGGATGCCGTTCTAGCTGCAACCCAGTACTGGGAAACACCCATACACACTCATTCTCACAAACACCCTCATACACTACGACCACTTTAGTTTATTCAATTCCCCTATAGCGCATGTGTTTGGACTGTGGGGGAAACGGGAGAACCCGGAGGAAACCCACACCAACACGGGGAAAACATGCAAACTCCACACAAAAAATGGCAACTGACCCAGCCAGGACTCATACCTTCTTGCTGTAAAGCCACAGTGCTAACCACTGAGCCACTGTGCCGTCCTCAAAATGTACTTTGAATTTTAATAACGATAATGATTATTTATTAAATGTAACATCTTAAAATAAGGTTACAGTAGTTCATGGTAATTATTGTATTGACTAGCATGAACAAACAATGAACAATACAATCATTACAGTATTTATTCATCTTTGTTAACAGAAGTTAAATAGGGCTGTCACAGCGCATTAACTAATGTTAACTTAGGACGTAAATAATGCATAAGTCAATGTCAAAGTATGATAAATGAACGCTGTATAAGTATTGTTCATTCTTACATGAATACATTAACTAATGCATTGTTAAAATGTGACCATATCGTTAAAAACAACTTTAACTAAAGCCACACTGTAAATAAATATCCGTGAATGAGCAGTTTTCCTTGTTTTGTGATTCATGTTTTGTTTATTTCTGCTTTTTTATTGCATTATGGGAGCTTGATCGTTCATTGAACAAATTTTAACCTTGAAAAGTTTGAAAAAAGTGACTTTTATTACCATTTTTACTAGTTTATAGTGATATAGTGTCTGCTATTGTATATTACACTACAAAAAAAGCCTTGTAATAAACTGCCAGTACATTTTCTGTTGTTATACAGACTTATTTCTTTATATAGCATTTCTTATACATTAGAGGGTCACGCTTTATTTTGATGGAATTAAAGTTACATTGCATCGACATGCCAACTGATTCTCATTGGATTATAAGTAGACTGTTGAGTTGGGGTTAGGGTTAGTGTAAGTTGACATGACCTTGTAAATTTTTTTATAGTCAGTTAAATGTCTGTTGAAAAGCAGATATTACCAAATGGACTGTCAAAATAAAGTGTTACCCATTATATTATTTAAAACATCTAATATATATATATATATATATATATATATATATATATATATATATATATATATATATATATATATATATATATATATATATATAAAGTCCCTTTGTTAAACTGTACAGTTGAATTTTCAACATCAGAAGTCAACAGAGCAGAGATCAACCCTTAATGCAATTCACAACCATGAATAAACTAAAAACACGTAATCAACAGATCAGTTTTACAGTGCACTGAATGCAAACGTCCCATAAGTGTCACCATTATTAAACATATTTAAAAATCAGTGTAAAAGCAATAGAATATCCCAGTGTTTAGAAAGAGTTTGTGGTACCGGTTTGTGCAGCAGCAGGTCCAGCAGTCAGTGTGATCCATATGAGCGCTGCTATAGACATGATGTTGATGCTCCCCATGGCGGATGCGGAGCTTGAAGCTCTCCACCTGTTCAATGAGAAAGAAAGTCTCCTTTACTCAGAGTTTTATACCTCTGCTCCTTCAAGACACACGTAACGCTGAGCTAAAGGTGCGGCCTCATTCATCTTTACTGACAGCATAATGCAACATTTTTCTAGTCTAGTCCAAATATCTAAATATTCTTAAATCAAGAAACATTTTCTAGACAAGTAAAACATATTGTGAAATTATAAAAAATAAAATGTGAAAATTAAGCAATTTTTCATCTTCTAATGGGATAAGCAAAGTAATCCTTCCTTTCCTTTTGACGTAAGATTGTTTTGTTTGCCCCGTTGGCAGATTTTTTAGCTTGTTTCAAAGAAAAACTCTCTTAAGTTTGGCATATTATTTCTGAAAAAAAGACAATATGTTTTACTTGTCTTGAAAATGCTTCTAGATTTAAGAATTTTTAGATATTTGTACTAGAAACAAAAGAAAAACTCTAACTTAGGAAAGCATTTCTTGCAGTGTGACTGTAGAATCTGTAGCTAAAACAAGATGAAAAGAGGTCTTTATATTTGTTGTATATTATAGAGTGTCCTGTTTATTTAACTGAGCAGAGCATATATATATTTATTATGATTTACAGACGACACTCACTAATGTGTTATTCATTGTAAAATGTAACTATGGTTAGTTTAGATATCTACACTGTAAAACAAAATCCTGGTTGCCTTAAAGTTTACGGCTGATTCAGATTAACCTTATGAGTCCAATGAGCCGATATTATGTTAAACTGACCTAAATCAACTTGTGTAACTTATAAAATTAAGTTAGAACATGAAAAACATATGCTGTCAGTACTAAATGATCATATAAATTGTTCACAGTGTAGTTATATTTATTGAAACATATTATGAGATAGTAATAAGCTATTTAAAGATCATAGACCGGGCCTCAAAATATTTATTTTGCTACATTAATTACTTTTAAATCTGTCTTTTTAAACCACAAACCTGTTTACCAGCTTCAAGTTTTAATCATATAATTAATAAAAATGATCAACATTAGTAAATATAGTCCATGAAATATGTAACCTTTTTACATAAATGAATAAATAAATAAATGAATAAATAAATATTAATCTGAATAATGATGGAACAATATTTTATCCATATTTTTGCAATTTATTTTGACAAAAGTTTTATTGAAACATGAAACACTAATGTTAATAATGTTATGAAAACTTAATAAAATCACTGAAATAATTATTGCCCAAAACTGATTGTTATTTTAAATTCATCTTTAAGACACTACACTATTGATCAGAAAGTGTTTAATATTTTCATTTTTACACATTATAAAATTTTGTATAATCTTTCTCGCAAGTGTAATGTTTATTGTATAATGTTTTATTTGCATGTAAATAAATAAATAAATATTTTTTAGATTGAATGATGAATTTACAATATTTCATCCATAATTTGGAATTTTATTTTGACAAAATATTTATTGAAATGTTTACTAATGCTAATATTAGTATATTTTTCTTTTCTCTTTAAAATTGTGCTTGGTCCAGAAAACTAAATTTAATAAAATTAAATGTTTATTTAATGTCATTGTTATGACCATATTTGTTGTCATCTTAGTGAGTAATAATTATGACTACATTCATAGTTGTTTACTTATTGAAGTATGAGACTGTAGTATGTTTAAATTAAAAACTGTAAAAAAGGTAAATATTGTATTATAAAAGCAATGAAATCACATATAATAAAAACATTATAATTTTGAGCTTATTATGCTTTAGCAATTAATTTACATTACATTTTTATTTAGCACCATAAGTTCTACTGGACTTGCCTTTGCATACCAAAATTCTGCTAAAATGCTAGAATAAAAATACTAGGAAAAATATTATTATAAGAGCAAATGTTTGTGTTATTGGTGTGCCTTTTCCTATAATGTAAGAGTCTTTATAAGAGAAATGATGATAACAATGCATGGGGTGGGGACTTTTTTGAACTAATGATGTATAAATATTGAGTCCTTAGTACATTAATCCCCCAAAGTGACTCAACGTGGTGAACACTCCTTGACAAAACTTCAGGTCCTGAACTTTTGTGTAGCGCAAGGCGCTG